AATGTTGGGCAAAGATGAGAAAGACAAAGGATCTTTGCCAACGTAGCGCTCGTTGAAGAAAAGTGAAAAAACCACAAATACTGTGGCCTTGGCCTGCAGCGATGCATAGCTTATATTTTGAGTGACAGGTCAGATGCACAGCAAGGGAAATATGGTGGATTTCATGCGTTAGAAAGTCCCCCCCGAACGTGTTTGTCTCGTCTTCTGAAAATAAAACCTGTATTTGTCAAAGTTTTTACTGAGTGATGGACTCTACACTCTTCATCGTCTTCATCGTGGAAAAAAGGGCCTCTGAAAAATACCGTCCTACATTTAAGCCTATAAACAAGCTCAGACGACAGTTATCATGATCACTGTGGGAAAAAAAACAATATCTGTAATGAGGGACTAATCTAGAAGAACCACATCTCCGTTAGTTGTCATTTTGCAGAAAAACGACAAAGATCTGAATTTAAAGCTCATTTTTGTGGCGTATTTTTCCCTGAAGTCGTGACCTCTGGATGTTTCCCTCAAAATAAGAGGAGGTGAAATGATTGGATTGACAGCAGGTCTCTGAGAGTGTCTCACCTGACGGCTAAATAAAAACAAAAACAGAAACTCAGTGACTTATCTGAAGCTTCCAAGAAGAAACAAGCTTCTACAGAAGTCTGTGAGTTTTTCGAATTATTGCTCACTAAGAAATGTCGTATGCAAATACCCTCACCGTGGTTTTGTTCCTCATTTCAAGTGTCTAATCTCATCTCACAGGCAGCGTGATAAAAATGACGTACCCACATCCTCTGAAAGCAAACAAGGAACTTAACCACATCAGGGGAAAAACCCTAAAAGCTACAAAACCACAAACAAACTGAGCCCACAGCCGTCCTGTCTGCACCTGCACATAGCTCACCTGTCAAGGGTGGAGGATTATCTCCGCGGTGATGACTTCAGCGGAGATAACTTGTTAATTTACGTCAAGAATCGCTTTGAAAAATCTCTTTAAATTTTTTGTTGGAAGGGTGTCGAAAGTTTTTGCTCCCTTGTAGTACAGACACATTTTGCTTTAACCTCATTTTTTGTTTTTGTTTTAAGGATGTTTTAAAGTCAACTCCTCTCATTTAAAACCAATCAATTCATAACCTTAAAATGTCTTAAAAAGCTTTAAAATCCAGATAAAAGATATAAACTAGTAAAAAACTCAATGTCTAACTCCACTTAATCAAACTTGCATCTTGTTTTGATCATAATTTCTCGTCTTCATTTTTTTTTGTTGTTTTAAGGATGTTTTAAAGTCAACTCCTCTAATTTATAACCTTAAAATGTCATAAAAAGTTTTAAAATCCAAATGAAAGATATAAACTAGAAAAAAACCTCCATTTCAAACCCCACTTAATCAAACTTGTTCCTTGTTTTAATCATAGTTTCTCATGTCTTCATTTTTTTTTGTTTTAAGGATGTTTTAAAGTCAACTCCTCTCATTTATAACCTTAAAATGTCTTAAAAAGCTTTTAAAAAAACTAAATTTCAAGACCCACCTAAACAAACTTAGTCTCGTTTTTATTAAAATTACTTGTCTTCATTTTTTGGCCCAACAACAACTACTAAAAGTCATGTTGCGTTTAAAAGATTTTGAATTTGTCATGTTTTAAAAGGTTAAAAAAATAGTAAATAATAATTCATCTTTTCTCAGTTTCTCCAAATTAAATGCGAATAAAAAAATAAAAAAAAACAACTAAGCGCCTACTTTTGCAAATGTGACTCTGATGGATCAACAACTTGACTCCGAACAGCTAAACTCTGAGAACAACTGCATCAGTCCTCACTTCAAACATGAGACAAGCGAAGGTTCATTGAGAGATGAATACGTCTGATAAGAAGCCAAAGTTAGAAGCTGTTAACATATTTTTGACCCTTCGATGACCACACAGAGTGACATCCTCATGTTTAAGTTTTATGTTATATGTCATATTATTACAGGATGTTCCGAGTGTTTCCTTCACTCATGTTCAAACGTATGTAAAAAGTGATGTCAACATGTAAATGATATCATTCTCAGTCATTCTTATCATGTTATGCTATAGTCTGTGCTGGTTTCCATATAGATAGGGGGTGATCAGCATGTTTAGGTCATAAATGATCAAACCTGAAGATGATTCCTCTTCATATATCAATTTCCATCATGAAGATATTAAAACATCTCTGTCTCACACTTTGAACTATGACAAAAAGGAACTACCATCTCGCTCATAATTGTGAATCATGACTGAGTTCATGTTGGAGTTTCTTAGATCAGCGCTCTTATCTCTAAGCATCATATATATTTAAAATACACTGTTTACATCGCAGTCTAAAAGCACTTTGTCTGCGATTTAATATGCAAATAATATTTCAGATGGCACTGATATCCTTGAAAAGTCTTGAAAGGTTCCGGGTCTGATCTAAAGTATGTAACAGGAAACGTTCCATTAAATCTGCACTTTGAGTTTCCTGCGATGAACATTGAAGATCAAATCTCATTTTCATCTTTTGTAAAGTGGGTTTTAATGTTTCTGTCTGCATCAGCTGCCTCCTTGTAATCCTTTCATCTTGTATTAGTCTGAAAACTCTTTTAATTACAGTAAAACCCTGTTTTCTCTCAGATTGGTCTTAATTTAATACTCTATTGTTTTAAAATGGCTTTTAACTTGATTGTTCATCATTTTAGCTATATTTTATCATTTTTTAAGCATAGCTCAGGAATAAATTTGAGATCGATTGAGCTCCACTTTGTCTGTACAAGCATTTTTTAATATCTCTTTTTGTTTTAAAAGTGTATTTGGCATCTTTAGGTCAGTCCCAAAGTTACATAACAGAAAAGGTGACAACGTGTTAGTGATCAAGTAGCTTCAGTTTTGTTTTAGGTGGAGCTATATATGAACTAATCCAGGATCAATATGTAAAGTCCAGGGCTGCTAGAGTCAATAAAATCCTTTTACCTTTTAAAATCTGTTTCTATTGAACTGTGTTAAATATTAAACAAAGAAGTAACATATCCCTTTAGTAGGTATTAAAATGTTATCAGTGATCTTTATTTTGCTCCATCCTCATCCATCTTGACTTTTACCTCTGCATTCTGCATTCAGGTCTCTGTTTTGAGTGTTATTTAAATTAATTTAAACACTTTTAAACTGTTTTATTCCCTGTTGTTTTTAAAATATTCACATTACAAACTCCTGTGTTTTATTGTTTTTAAACTCAGTAAAATTCTGTTGTCTTCGGATGTAGTTGTAAAGAAAATTTGAGACAGTTTGGGTTTCTAGTGTTATTTTATCTGTAAAAATCCATTTAAAATCTGCTTTTAAAGTTGTTATTAAAGCATCTCTGGGTTCAAGTTGCATAACTGAGGATGTATCAGTGCATGAGCCAATCAGCAGCCAGAGTTTTCTAGGTAGGGCCATCTGTGAACATCAAGTCAGTAGTTTCTTTTTTGGACCTTTTTTTCATTTCACATTGGTTTTAATTTGTTTTTCTTAAACAATTTTAACGTCCTGATGTATCTTTAATGTGACTAGTGTATTACTGAATCCATTTACTGTTTTTTTAATGTTTGACTGTCGAGTGTTTTGGTCAAATCCTGTTGTTTTTCAGTTCACTTCAATAAAAATATGATTTTGGGGGTATTTGGGGGTTAAATTTGTCTGTAAAGGAATTTTCTTTGTAAGTTCTGCTTTAAAAGTTACTGCTGATCACTTTTAAAAAGCATCTCTGAGTCTGTTAAAAAGTTACATGACAGAAAAGGTGGCACCATGTGAGCCAATCAGCGGCACGTAGGGTGTTCATGGTGAACACCCAGAGTCATGCTTATAACCAAATTGTCTTTTCACTTATTACATTGGTTTCTTTTGCATTTCACTTAAAATCTTTTAACTTTTTGGATCAGGTCTTTTATCTATCAGTGCTTTTTGACCGCTATTTTTGTCCGACTTTGGGCGATTTGGCGGAGTCATCACGGCCAATCAGCGGTTAAAGATGTTTTGTTGGGAAAGTAGTGAGCATGTGAAGTCATGTTCATATCTAAAGGCTTTTAAAATATTTTGAACTCTTTCAACCTAATTTTGTTGTTCATTTTCTACAGTTTAGTTGGTATCTTTTTTTAGAGGGGTCGAGGGGACAATTTTGCTGTAAGAGCCAATTAAAGATGGAGTTCTACTTTGTTTGTAAAAGCACTTTTTAAAGTTAATACTGAGCTTTTTTAAACCGTCTCTGTCTGTTTTAAGTTACATTATAGAGAAGGAAGCATCATAAAAGCATATTAGCAGTTTGATGTATTTAAAATTCGTTACACAGTCAGTTAAATCTCTTTTATCATCTTTAAATCTAATCTTATAGATTTGCCATCATGCAGGTTTGACACCTGTATGATGGAAAATGACACCTTTCCTCCGTTGCAGTAGGTACATGTATAGAAAATATATACAATATGGAAGTTTAAAATTGTTCTGCTCATGATGTTTTCTTTTTTCAATCATTAGAAGGCCTCAATGTTCATTTTAGAGCCAGTTAAAAACCCTCACAGGAGCTTTAATTTCCTCTGTGAATGTTTTGTTTAAACTCTTTCAACTCTTGTGTTTCTCCTGTTAATTCTCCCATCATCCCTTTTTTAAACTCTTCTCTTTAAACCCTGTTTTCCCCCTTCGGATTCACAGATCCTGGTGTGTTTTCCCATCGTGCTGCCTTGTTTAGAAAGAATTTGAGGTGTTCAGCGAGAGTCGACAGCAGCCGCAGGATTCAAACAAACAATGCATCATGGGTGTGAGGTATCAGGTGTCATACTTCTGCATTGTTGTTGTAATCCACCCGTAATAGAGCCCATCACTTGTTGTCACAGTAGCAGTTCAGCCCTCACTAAAGGTGAAACACAAATGCAGCGACCTCTACCTCCCTCTTGTGGTCAGATTTGGTAACTGCAGCTAAGTCATATGTGCAGCTACGCTCAATCGGAGCAATTTAAAGACTTATCAAGGAGTACACTGACATTCAAGTTAAGTTTTTCAAGACTGAAAATTAGATTTATTAATTTATTCATTGATTTATGTTTAAGGCTGACACATTGTTTTCCCTTCATTAAGATTTTAATGATTCGAGAAGAAGTACGATGCCATTTTTTTTACACATCTGCATCTGAAGACGATATGACGTTTACTTTTATTTTGAGGAATGTAAAGATGCAAACATTCATAGTATCTCCAAAAGAAACAGACAAGACAGAGGAAATAAGTGTTTTTTTAAACGATATCTGTACTGGTGTCTAAATGTCTTAAAAGGAGGAGAAACTGTTGGAATTGCTCCATTAAATTGCTTCAGCTGAGCCGTTACAGCCAAAGTACGAGAGGAAACTCTGTCTGAGCAAACAACCAATAAATCTGTGAAAAGAAACGGCTGCCTCCACACTCACCAAACCTCATTGAAAAAAAGAGTAACTTTAGGAGCTGCTCATGAACCGCTGCCTTGATCAATAAAGGTGATGTAGTGTTATTCTAATGTTTGAAAATGTTAGTTTTGATTCAACATGATATTTATAAAACAGGCGAGAACTTAAAAAACTATTAGACCAAAGCAGATGAAGTTCAGAAATTCATGTGTCCTCAAATAACAGTGAGGTTTAAATGACTGTTTTTATCAATGGAGTTTGGTGGCTTGGAAAAAAACGTTGCTGGTTGTTTTTCTGGTTCCAATTAAAAAGATCTTTCCCGTCAAGGAAGTTTTCTGTATTTTTCCAGGCATGAAGAACAACATCTGAACATGTTGAAACAAAAAAACGCACGTACCGTGACCTTTCTGCACGTGCAGAAAATCACGTTCAGGCATTTGGCGCCTGTAGCTGCTGGCGGAAGCAATCTAAAGGAGCAATTCCACTTTTTTTGTACCTTAAGGCCAATTTTTCCTCAGATTAAAAAATCTAGCAGAGCTGAAAACTATCTGTGTTTCATTTTAAACTAATCACTGAAGAGGATGTCTGGTGTTTCCCTCTGCTCTTGCACCGACTCATCTCTGAAGTGAACTTTGTAAAGGACAGCCATGCACAAATAATAAGATTTGATGCTGGGAATGAGTCAAACCTGCAGCCACTTTCTGGGGGGGAACCAGCTCGAGTTTAAAGCTGCAGCGACACCAGAGCCAGGCGATCCTCGAGTTTAAGCGGTGAGTGAATTACCAAAGATTTCCCCTCCTATCCTGTCAAGTAAAAAAACACACAGCAGTCCTCAGAAACTTCACCCACAGGCCGTTTCTTTTCAGTCTCTCCTGCTCGGAAGTTTTTTCGGAGCTGATAAAGAAACACAAATACAAATGCGGGGCGTGAACTGCTAAAAAACACAAGACAACAAAAACATCCATCGACCATTTCTAGGTGGCGTTTGTCCCAAAATACAATCAATAACAAAACAAGAAAACACCCCCTGACCACTTAAATCCAGCTGATCTCGCCTTAAAACCGCCTTTTTTTGACCTTCTCTCTCCTCGTCTGTCTGATTTCACGAGCAGCTTCTCTCTCCGCTCAGCTGCGTCTCACTCGTACTCGGCGATCAGCACCATCATGCCGACCCCGAACAGCAGAGCCAGGATCTCCATCAGAGACTGGCCGAAACTGGAGCGGCCCGCCAACAGTTCTGGGAGCACCGTCACGGTGGCGATATAAACGAACCCACCGGCTGTGAACGGCAGGATCCAGGCGGTCGCTGTGGCGCCGACGCCTTCAGCCAGTAAGGAGCAAGCTGTGCCGGCCAGAGCTCCCACGGCTGTCACCAGCTGCAGACACATGGCCTGATGGGAAATTGGAAAAGACACAGAATCAAAGATCGTGGTTTAACCGATCATGCAAACGATTATTGTTCTGATATTTGGGTCGTCTTGGTTACCTTCTTTTTGGTGCAGCCGGACTGAACGAGGATGGCGAAGTCTCCGATCTCGTGCGGGACCTCGTGCAGCAGGATGGTCAGAGTGGTGACGGTGCCGACAGCCGGACTGACCAGGAACGACGCTCCGATGGCCAGGCCGTCGGTAAAATTATGCGTGATGTCAGCTGCGAGGTTGAGGTAACCCGACACCTTGATGTCTGTGTGAGCGAACAAAGACGTTTACTTATAATACTGGTGCAGGTCAGGTGGGACGCTCTGTTGCATGACGGCGCTGCGAGGACTGTGAACGAAGAAGCCGGAGCTCCCTCTACTGGACAAACTGTGTGATTACATCTTTACTAAATAACCTGAGCACTGTTTTCTGAAAGGTTATTTAAATGACGTTGTGTCAAAAATACTTCCTCATCTTGCAATTAAATGACAACATGCTGCAAACAAAGTAGGGCTGGGCGATAAACTGAAAATTTACAGATACAGAAATTTACAACAATAACCGACGTCATTTTGCCCATGTCGGCATATTCGGACTTTCCAGCAGCTATTGCTGTTGTTATGAGCATGTGCAGTGTGCTACAAGGCACAGTCTTTTGTTTTTTCATCCTCATTTGTGGAGGATCGTCAGGACTGGTACAGGGGTGATGTTTGTTAAGTGGTGTTTTATGGATATTTGTGAATTTGTGTTATATCATTGTTGGTTACACTTGTATTTTTGTGTTTGTTGCGGGTTTAAAACCTACTACTAGTCTCTACTAATCGAAACTGCAAAGCTGTAACAGGCAGCTATTGCGTGTGTGTGAATTAGCAACAAATAAACAGTATAAAAGAGACTCGAGTTGTTCTGCCGCACTGTCCCTTACTGGAGAAGCTCAGTAAAAATCTGGACATGAATAAAAGTAATCGTCCATTTATTGTTATTGAAATGAAATGCTCAATATATCGTGATATTGATTTGAGGCCATATCGCCCAGCCCTTAACCAAAGTATCCTTAAAAAGGCCCGTATCTGCTCGATAAAGTCAAAAGTCATGAATCATTTAATCAGATGGAGATGCAATAAAAAGCACAGGGACTGTAAAAACTGCAAAATCAGGACAGTAGGACACAACAGATCAAAATAAAGACATGTTCTGTGCCAAAGAACTGTCTCTTAATCAGGCTGTACTCATCCGTGTAGGACACTGGGTCAGGTATTATAGGATTACATGTTTCTGTTTGATGACTGACACTTTTCTCTGATCTTGGAGACTCATACCTGAGCCGACACGAGCGACTGAAGTGACGCCAAAAACAGCAAACTGACCCAACAAGTGAACCAACGGGCAGGATCAAAAGGAAACGTGACCTTGACTCAGGCCAAAACCCTAATCCCTGGGATTAAACTCTCGTTAAAATTCACTTTCAGGAAGGTATGAATCATCATTCGGTAGCTGAGGCGTCACGATCACACCTCCGTCAAAGCAGAGGGATTACTGCGTCAGGGTTTTGATGGGGAGCGCTCAAAGACTGCGGCAGTTTTTGAAGTGATTCCGAGCACATGCAGTGATTTCCACAACAGACTCGGTTTCCAGCCTTGGCCTATTTTGTTTAGAAAATTCCCACGTTCTAAATCGTCAAATGATTTTGTGTACCAGAGATTAAAGGAGCCTCAAAATCTTTGCAGTCTGATGCCGATGACACGGATGAATCACACAGGAACCTCGTACCGTATTCTCTTGCAATTTTTAGACGCAGTCATGTTGTAATAAAACCTCATGAGTCAGAAGATGTTCTTCAAGGCATTAAACTGTTTTTTTTTTTTTGTCTTTTCTTGTCTCCGTCTCGGCTGCTTTCAAACATATCGTTGGCATCAAATCTAAAATGAGCGTAAAATTTTCACAAAACAATTAAACTTTTCAGATTCAACATTTGATCAGTTGTCTTCGCTGTAAAGATACTAAATTTAAATGATTTTCAAACCATCAAATTCTGTTTTTGATATTTTGCACGATCTTAAACTTTCTGTTACCATGTCAGAGCAGTTGAACATTTTTCAGTCCATATTTGGAGTAATGACACAGATGTGTCATGGTCTCTAAAATTAAAGAATATCAGGTAATATTTGAGGTTTTATCAAATATTTCAATCAAATTCAGGTTACTACGTTGAAATAGCATAAACTGGATCTACAGGTTTGATTATATCTTCACTAAATCTGATCAGTTTAAGTTTTCAGGATCCAGCAGTTTTAATCTGCCATCATGCTGCAGTTCAGCACCTGACCAGCAGAGGGAGTTGTGGGTCCAGTTTTAATCCTGAGAGGAGGCGAGTCTCTTAAAACAAACACATCACTCACCTGTGCTCTGCTTCTCCTCCTTCTTTGGCTCCTTCTCTCCTTTCTTCTCCTCTTTCTTTTCTTCTTCTCCATCGCTGTCCTTCGCTTTGGCGGCAGCTGAGATTAAAATTAAATTTTTTTTTAAATGCTTTGAATGCTCGTGTTATGTGAAGGCATCATTTCACACCAGCGTACCATGAGTGTGTCCGTGCGAGTGTCCGTGTCCGTGTCCGTGTCCGTGTCCTCCCTTCACCAGACGCACAAACTTCTCCACAGCCAGGAAGACGATGATCCCCCCGAGCACCCACAGACCCACAGACATCATGTGACCGTGGGCAGCTCCTGAGCAGGTAGAGAAGGTGTTAAAAATGTGAATTAAACCTTTAAAGAGTCCTTTTGTTTACTTTTGTTTCTCACAGCTGACACTTTACGCTTCTGTTTAGTTTGCAACACAAACACATAACGAAGTTCAAATGTGTGACATGACTGAGAGGAAAGACAGAAACTGTGTACCATGGGAGTGTCCGTGGTCATGTGACTCCTCGCTTGCATGTGAGTGTCCGTGATCCTCCTCATGGTGAGAGTGCGGCTCTGTGCAGAACAAATAAGACCCAGGAGAGTGACATTAAACTCAGGAAGACAAACTGAGGAAGTTAACATCATAAAAAAACAGATTTTTATGAATCTACGACATACCCAGTGCGTGTGGTATGAGGTGGAGGAAGGCGTCACCGAGCAGTCCACCTGAAGCGAAGCTGAGCAGCACTTTGAGCAGGTTCTGGTGCTGGTCGCTGTTGGACTGAACGGGGATCAGGAACAGGATGAGGAAAGGTGCCGCGCTGATCAGCAGGGTCGCTCCGATGGCCTGAAAAAGAACGACGAGGGAGTTTTAATCAGACGAACATTCACGCTCCTCAGACACTAAAGAAACAGTTTAAGCTAGAGGTCAGAGTTCACGGCTGGATGGATGTTAAGTCTGATCATGATCTGGTAACAGATGCTCGAGAGATCTGCCCACCCTGATTTTGATTGGCATTACAGACACACCTGACTATTCAAGTTACTCCTATCCTCCTTTCTGGAGACTCAGGGAGTCATTTTTTAATCAATCCCGTGATCGGGACGGGAAAAGAAGCAATGGGAGCGGGAACAACATTAATAGATGATCATTTTCAGCCGTGTTAAACAACCAGATGAACAGATACGTCCATTTTTGTAGTCATCTCTCAGAGAGAGCCAACACTCTTGACCGCGCTAGCAACACAAAAGAACTACAACAGTGGTTTGACTTCCTGTCACCGCCAGAAGTGAAAAGCCACTCGGAGCGGCTGCCAAGCCAAGGCGTAAAAGTGCGTTTTTAAAATGGATTTAAAAACAGGAAACGAGGAGGCCTGTCTAATTCTCAAGGGCAACTCATTCCAGAGCTTGGGAGCAGCTGCGGCAAACGCTTGGTCACCCCTGAGCTTCAGCCTTGTATTGAGGGCCGTCAGTAACAGCTGATCCGCTGATCTTAGGGGTCGGGGTGGGCAGTAAGGCTGGAGCATCTTGGAAATGTAAGGTGGAGCCAGATTGTTCAGACCTTTTAAAACAAATATTAAAAGCTTAAAATTAATTCTATACTGTACAGGGAGCCAGTGTAAGGACGCCAGGATGGGGGTGATGTGCTCACGCCTGCGGTTCTGCGTCAGGAGACGTGCAGCAGAGTTCTGCACAAGCTGCAGGCGGGCAAGGGAAGCCTGGCTAATCCCTACTTACAAAGAGTTGCAGTAATCAAGACGGGTCGTGATAAAAGCATGGATTAGTTTTTCCAGGTCAGATCTCGATAAAATGGGCTTCACCTTTGCTATTTGACGTAGCGGTAAATGATCGTGTAAAGTGTGAACGTGACTTAACCAGGACCTCACCTGCATCCAGAGCTCCACCATGTCCCTCTTCTCAACCTCCCTCTTCACCCTCTCTCCTCCGTGTGAGTGCCCGTGTCCGCTCTCCTCTTTGTGCACCCGCAACACATCCTCATGATGAGCGTGTCCGTGATCGTGAGAGTGTGCATGTCCGTGATCATGAGAGTGGGCGTGTCCATGATGCTCCTCCTCCTCCTCCTCTTCTACAGGTAGGTTTGCTTCAGCACTCCATTTGCTCGCTCCGTGGAACATCCTCACATCTTCGTCTTCGCCATGGGAGTGGCCATGATGATGGTGGCCATGGTGATGGTGGCCATGGGAGTGGGCGTGCCCATGGTCGCCATGTGAATGACTGTGAGCGTTTGATGGATGGGAGGCTAACAGAAGTAGTGCAAATGTGAACACTAGCAGTGCCAGCAGACGTAAACAGCCCATATTATTCCCTGTGATGAAGACAAGAGTAAAAACACTCAATAAATATGACAGTAAGACCAAGAATCATGTGACCGCTCATGTTTATACGGGTAAATCTTTTAATTATAATGTCCTGAAAAGGTTCACTTGTTCTTGCTAAACTTTTTATGGTTGGTTGTGCTGACATTTTGAAGTCAAGTTGTACTTTTATGTGTGTTTTTAATTTCCAATCCTCAGGCAGTTGCCATCTGAGGACATTTATTGTAAGGTTAAAGGGATATTCCTGTGTAAAATTCATTCAGTGTTTCCCCCGGGATGGGAATCTAACTGTGGTGGTGAGTTAATGGGGGGTGGGTTTAATGAATCAGCAGTGACATCGCCGACGATAATGCACAAATCCTAATACTAGGTGCGTGCACGTATGTATACTGATACATATGAGTTCAAGATAGAGCCACATAAGAAAACACCGCATTTTAAAAGGTGTCGCGGCTTTTATTCAGCCGCGGTGGTAAGCCACGTTCAATTGCATGTAGGGGAAACCCTGTAATTTAGGGTCAAACACACCGTAACACCATTTTCTTCATGGAAATGCAATCAGACCAAGACGCTAAGGCAGAAGAACTACCACGTCTGCAGTGCAAAATGATCAATATGGTGATTATTACTTCAAGGAAATGATAACGAAATTATCATAAATGTTCTTCCTTGAGCTGCGTCACCCCGCTGCAGTCTGTAATGGACTGGTCTGAGGTCTCGCTACAAACAAACGGCTGCTGGAGGAGAGTAGGTGAGTTGTGTTTAGTCTCTTTGCTAAAGAAATAAGGCAAAGTTAAAAAGATGTTTGGTGGCTAGTACTATGGCTGGGACCCTATATGTCCTGTTGATGAAGTTAGGTGCTGTTCTGAGCATTATTTGTGGCTACAGAGTGGCGTTTTGGTTGAAGTGAGTGTGTGTGTGTGGAGATGTAGACCGCTGTGTATTGCTATCGTAGGGTCGTTACTTAAGTTGGTTTAACTAAAGAAGCAAGCGGTCGCCAACATTTATCTCTGAAGTATCTTACTCGGTGTCATGGTGTGTTTGACTTTAACTTAAATTTATGCTGGAATATCCCTTTAATTCTGTGTATTCTTCCTTTTTCTATTTAAGAAACTCCACAGCAATAGAAGTGATGATTCAGCAAACTCAAACATGTATACACTCTTGGCGCAATTGTCTAAATGTGCATTTCCTTTCACTTAAACGTTGCGTTTTTGCAGAAGTCTCATTTCTTCTTCAAATCAGCGAGAGTGCATTAAAAGTTTCAGAATGCTAGGTCTTTAAAATTCACTGGATTTCTGCAGGATATGATTCTATAAACTCGTCCAAAGCTGCACTAAACCCATGCAACTCCGTGTTTACTCACCCACCTGCCTGGACCTAAACTTTTACTGTTTGCATAAGCACATTTTGTACCGTACACTCAGTTAAATAAGCATATAAACAGTTTTAACGATATGGATGAAACTAAACTTTCCATATTCGGCTAATGTAACTCACATTAGTTTGACTTTGCCATCTGTTTTTGTTTATCTCCATGCAGCTGAAAGCGAAGGATGCTAAAGCTAAATACGGATAATCTCTTTGCATTTGAAAGTGTCCTCTTCAATCTCATCCCCAAACAAGAACCTGAGATAACCGGCTTCACTAACTTACAAAGAAAGCCTGTTAGCCGGATAGCTAGCCTACAGCATGCTAACGTGTTGCTGCAGCGGGAGCATCATCGTAAACAGCGACTTTCAATGAAAAACAACAAACAGTTCCTACCGGGATTTGTCCGTTAACACTGCCTCTCTGTGCGCTGGATAACTCTCTTATCCTGCGGTTGGTGTGAGTGATAAACCTCTGATGTTTCTCTCTGCGTTGATGCTACTGGTAAGACGTGGCATTTACTCAAGTCAACTCATGGAAATCTCGCGGGAACGCATCCCGTTCCGAATGAGCGTCTCCTTCCGTGCACCCTTTTTCTGTTTAATCTTGACAAAAATATAATTCCATGTAAAGAAAAAAGCTAATTGTGAGGTTAAATACGTGGTGATGAATAAGTGAAAAAGATTTCTATGGAAACTAACTCGAAAATCTGTAATTCACGATGAGGTAAAGTGTACAAAAAAGGAAAGATGCGCTGTCTGAGGAAATATCGCGAGACTATAATGCTCGGACTTTGTGGCAGTGAAAAAGAGAAGCAGCATCCTAGAGGAGAGCAGGATGTTGTTGGGCGTGAGACCACAAAATAAGGAACAGATGGATGTGAACTTGTTAGATTTTACGTGTCTTTAGCATCGACTTACGAAAAACTTATTTGTGTTAATATATCCGGGACATTTCTAAGAAAATTGTTACATTAAAAAGCATGAAAACGATTTTATCACCAAAATATGAAGTGAGGGTTTTTTTTGTCCCAAACTTTTTGTTAAATTTGTACAATTTTGATGTTTTAACGTTGTACCTAAACCTAGGACTAGTTTTTATTAATGTATTGCATAATATATTGTTACATTAACCCACGTTATCTTGTTATCACCATTGCTTTCCCGTCTTCAATCAATCAAACTTTATTTTATACCTGTATCTTTAGTATATACAGTCTATGAGTTATACTGACTTTTATAACGACCGCAGGATAGCAATATACAGCGGTCTGAGGAGCCATAAACAAACCTCAACCAAAACGCCACTCTATAGCCACAAATAATGCTCAGAACAGCACCTAACTTCATCAACAATACATATAGGGTCCCAGCTACAGCACTAGCCACCAAACATCTTTTTAACATTGCTTAATTTCTTTAGCAAAGAGACTAAATACAACTCACCAACTCTCTTCCAGCAGCCGCTTGTTTGTAGCGAGACGTCAGGCCAGTCCATTACGGACCACAGCGGGGTGACGCAGCTCAAGGAAGAACATTCCCATCACATTCAGAGCACCACTTTTATATTTTGTTCTTATATCAATGCTGTATCTTTTTTAAGTTTAGGTTGCTGTAGGCTACTTCTTGATTTTTTGCTTAAACCCTCAACTGAACCTTTGTTTTTATTGTGTTTTTTTTTTTTGCAGTTTATAACTTACATTTTTATCTTATTCGTTATTTATTTACATTGTTTATTTATTATGGTTGGGGCTCCCGATCTTTATCTCACCTTGGTCACCAAATTACCAAGAACTGATCCTGTTTATATCGGGGTTTTTTTATTTTGTTTTAACAGGCAAACGTTAAATCCACGTGAAACTACGGCACCGTGAAACCAGCCTTTAGACCTTACGTCACCTCGCTCAACCAATCACACGACTTCATGAATCTCTTCTAACCAATCACATCGCGTTAAGGAGCAACATCTTAGTAGGTTGTCGCTGTTGAATGTTGTCATCTCTAAATATGAACATCATGTACAAAGAGGAGAATATTTCACCCGGTCGTGTTTGTTGATTCCGTTCACGATGAGTAACCCGTGTCGAGAAGTGATCACTCTCCAGCTGGGACATTACTCGAACTTCGTGGGGACCCACTGGTGGAATTTACAGGTGAGTTTTTAGATCGGCGGCTAACTGCTAAGTTAGCTGTTAGCGTTAGCTGCGCATGTGTTGTCAAAGTTTGGAGGCAGCGGTGAGAGCTGATGCTAACAGCAGCATGAATCTGCAGGAAATGGACGTTTATTCAGACAGTGGAGGAAACTGCAGCAGAAGAACCACATTTTTAAGACACTGTCAGGGTTTGTTTGGATAAAGTCGCTCATAATCAGAATCAGGCTGCTGGTGTTTCTGTGATCGGATATTTTAACTTCTCCGACGCACACAGATCCTGTTCTGGTTCATTATTTATTGAACAGCATATAAATCACTGCAGAGGTTTGATTAGAATAGATCTGGCTGCACGTGTGACTTCAGTTTCTTTGTAAATATTGACCATATCGAAGCTAAATCAGGTTATACATCTCAGACAACATCTGAACACTCCTGCTGCACCGTCCTGTTTCTCTTTGTAAAACATAAACTGGTTTATGAACAGTTCAGATGTATTTTTCACCTCCCAGCCTCTGACCTGAGTGTGTCGATTTACTTTACTGATGAGAATCTCCCAGTTTTGGCGCCCCCTCGTGGGGAAAGATTCACCTCTCATCACTTTGTCCAGTGTGGGTCCATGAGGAGCTGTCTGACAAAATATCTCATCCTTACGGTGGCCGAAAACCACCACTACTGCAAAAAAAAAAAAAAAAAAAAAAATTGAATGCCACTGCTGCAAATAAAAAAAAAGTCACAACAGAAGTTACCGACACACAAAAAAAATTTGAAGCCTGCTCCAAATAACAATAATAATAATAAAAAAAGACGGTGCAGCGGTGGCGGTTCTTGGCCACCGTACATCTTGCTTTCTTTTACATTTTTAAAAATCAGTTTGTGTCTTTGTCTGTCCTTCATTTCTTCTTGTGTCGCTGGACATGAGGGTTGCCCCTGCTGTGATCTCTTCAGTATCAGAAAAGGTTGATTGATTGTATTTTTGTATTTATATATATATTAAAGGTTTACTTGTGTGTCTTGCAGGATGCGTCTTTATCATATGATCCAGAAGCACCACTGGGTGACATCCAGAGTGATGTCGTGTTTCGTGAAGGGCAGACTCTTGGTGGACATGTCACACACACACCTCGCCTTATCGCCATGGATCTCAAAGGTAATGTCTCAGTTCATGTGAATTTTAGAGCTGAAGACATCCTCAGTGAAGACACATGGAGCTAACTCACCTGGTCTCTGTCTGTTAATCACAGGGAGTCTTCGGACTCTGCGGCAGGAAGGATGTCTGTATGATCCTGGCAAAGACACGTCTGCGGTCACATGGTAAATATTTAAGATGTGAATAAAAAAAGTAATAAAAAAGAATATTTTTACAGATCTGGCAGATTTACAGCACACTTACCTAACAGAGTTTCTCTTCTTATTAAAGAAATTGCAAGTATTTGGAAAAAAAAAGATAAAGTTTTAGACAATTCATGATCTCCTTGGTGTAAAAATGTGCTCAATCCTGCAGGGAGGGAAGCATCATGATGCATGAAGAAAGTCCTCCCGCTAAGAACTCTTTTCTTGAAGATCTGGACAGGTTGGATGTAAGTATTCATGAAGGGAATTAAACTGAAAATCAGGCTTTGTTAAAGATTATCATTTATGCATCATTCATTCTGCATTTTGACTTTTCTTTGGTCCACAGAGAGGTGAGATCTTAGCTGAAGCAGATTTTTACTCCAGTCCTCAGCCTCACTGCTCTGGTAAGAAACCTTAAAGGAGACATTTTCGACTCATTTCCACCTCTCAAAACTTGACTGATTTGCTGCCCAAAAAACTCCTTATCAAACTTAAACTGGCATCTGTGAGAGACCTAATATAAGCACTTCCCAGTCACTGCCTAAAATGGTTCCTTGTGGCTGTTTTTCCACCGATATTCAAGTTCAACACAGCTTGTGGGTGTTACTTTTTACACAGCTTTGTAGTTAGGAAACAACCAGGAAGTTATACCTTTCCAGAAAACTTCCAAGTTTGTCCGTTAAAGCCCACACTTTTGGATATGTTACATTAGTTGCATTACTAGTGCTATTAACAGCTTGTGTTTTCAGTATGGTTTGGACATCCAACAGTATGTCATGATATGTACACATTAAAAACAGCCCAGAAGGTCTTCCTTTACATATCTTTTAAAGACTAAAGAGATCCATGTGAAAACTCTCCTCCAGCAGGTGCAGCAGTGAGTGTGGACACGGTGAACAGCCAGCTGGCTCGGGTTCAGAAGGCCTACAGGCTGGAGGGCAGTGTGAAGGTGTGGTCGGACTTCCTCAGGATTCACCTGCACCCTCGCACCATCTCCGTCATCCACCAGTACAACCATGACGGGTAGAGAAAACTCTAATGAAATCATAATATAACCAGACATTAACTTAAAGCTCCTGTGAGGGTTTTTTTGACATTAATGAAGTCGATTAAAACTCATCTTGATGTTTTTATTTGTGTTCAGGGAGGCTCATCGTCTGGAGGCCTTTGGTCAGGGAGAAGCTCTCCTGCAGGGGTCGGTGCTTGAAGACCTGGAGGACAGACTGCACTTCTTTGTAGAGGAGTGTGATTACCTTCAGGTAACTCAAATTTTATAGTGAGCTATGTTTGCAATAAGAGCGTAAAAAAAGGCCAAAAAATTTAAGTTTTTTTTAGCGTCTGGATGTACATTTACAGGTCTCAGTTTCATTGAGTCTCTCCCTTTGAGTTTTCCTTATCCTGCTGTCTTCCTCTTAGGGTTTCCAGGTATTGTGCGACCTGGCTGATGGCTTTTCAGGCCTGGGGTCGAAGGTCACAGAGATGCTGCAGGACTCTTACGGAGGGAGGGGCATCCTGACGTGGGGGTTAGCGCCTGTCAGTCACCCAAACGCAGTGAGTATGACTGTGTGTATGCTCAGAGCTGCTTTAGAGCTCATGTTCAACCCTTCGTTTCCTGAGTGTTTACTTTTCTTCTTCTTCAATCAGACTCCGGTGAAGGACGTGTACCACATGTTGAACTGCACGTTAGGGACAGTTCACCTGGCCAATCACAGCTCTTTTTTCTGCCCGCTGACTCTGCGTGGGGGACTTGGAAGAAGACCCTCGTCTCCCACAGCGTTCCCCTACCTCACTTATGATGTGAGCTCTTTTTTTATTACTGTTTCGGTCGCTAAAATTAACATAATTTCACTGGACAGAACTCAGTGTTTGAGTTATTTAACTGTAAGACTGCTGGGGTGAATTTTTCACATAAAGTAGGTCTCTTCGGTTGTTGATAAAACCTTTTTGGTGTCTCATTTTTCCTTTGCAGCCCTCCCTCTGGTTCCACTCCAGCTCCGTCCTGGCTCTCACCCTTGACGCCCTCACTCTGCCGTACAGGCTGAGGACCAACAGCATCCCTATGTGGCAGCTTGCGGACACACTGGCTGTTTCTGGGAGAAAGGTCACTTCTATCTCTTATATTCTGTTTGCATACATCCTTCACGTCTTCTTTAAAGAAATCTGAAAGCTAATATCTCCGTGGTGTCATTTAACCTCCAGGTGGTGGCGGCTTACGGCGCGGTCCCCTTCCCTATGATGCACGGCAGCTCTCTGCCTGACGCCCTGAGTGCCTGCGCTGATTCGCTGCCGTGGAAACCTCTATCAGCCTGTCCTGAGCTTGGTGATGGTCGTTGTTACGGACAGTGGACGACGCTGAAAGGCTTTGAGGGTCAGAGGCTGATCAGGTCAGGAAAACATTTAATAATGCTGCGGACTGCAGCGGGGTGACGCAGCTCAAGGAAGAACATTTATGATCATTTCTTTATCATTTCCTTAAAGTAATAATCATCATATTCATCATTTCGCACTGCAGACGCGGTAGTTCTTCTGCCTTAGCGTCTCGGTCTGATTGATATTAATATTTTACTTAAATTGTAACAACATGGTTATTTCTTAAGTTTCATTGGCCAACACATCCCCCTGCTTTGTTTTTTTTTTCCCCCTCTCTTTTCCCAAGAAGAGTTGAAATCGCTCCTTGTTACACTTGCAAACTCTGAAAAGCAGACTTGCTCTTTACTCCAGATAATAGTTGATAAAAACGATATGCTTAAAATGATCCCACTCATCTTCCTTTCAGCTCCTTGGCTCCTGGGATCAAACCTCCCACCCCTCTGCACAGCCTCCACAGTGGAGAGGACGTCCTGGCCGCCTACATCAGATCCTTCTATCCCACAGCTCCTCTGTGAGTCTTCACACTGTGTCATGATGTGCATGAATCATCTGACTTCTCAAACTCACAGTTTAACCCATCACTGCTCTCTCCTCTCTACATCTTCATCCTCAGAGCTCTGCAGCTGGTGTCTTCTCCCAGTAAGCTGACTCCACCTTTCCCTCAGATATTCAATCAGTCTGTTGGCGCTCAAGGCTTCCTGCAGAGCCAGTCTCCACCACCTGGCTGTGAGTATATTCCTGTTTCTTAATTTATCTCACGTTTTTTTACTCAGACCTTACTCAAATCTGTCACTCTCTCTGCAGCTCCGGCCCCCATGGTCTCATCTGTCCCCGTCTTGACGTCCCTTCAGTCCGGTCCTTCCCTCGGCTCCTGGCTCTCAGAGCTGCAACGAGGTGTCAGTGCTTTCGACATCCGCCGTGTGGCCCCCAGCTTCCTCTCCCAGGGGCCTGAAACAGCCGACTACGAGGACGCTCTAGAGCAGCTTCGCTTACTGGCCCGGTGTTACCGCGATGACAGCGGTGGGGTGATGCACTCATCCTCAGAGGAGGACGATGACGATTGAAAATGACCATCTTAGCGCCATTATCTTGATAACATAACTGCATGGCTCGGCACAGGAGAGAATGAAGAGCTTTGCTTCTGGTATGTGCAGGACCAGGACTCGATTACATGCTAACTGAAGAGACTGAGCCTGTAAGACACAGATGAGGGGCTATTTTAAGAACTCTTAAAGAGGTATATGTGTTGTAGCATCACAAGACTGTATGGACTGTGTAACATTTCTTCCAATAACTGTATATGTGTAATGTTTTTATACCAAACGCACACTATAAAATGACTGTATTTGCATAAAGAGATGTTATTCTTCCTCCTTTGTTTTGGGAACAGCCCGCTTTGACGATTAAACCGAGCAGATGACAGATGCTGACAGGGCTTTAACGGCTTAATCCTAATCTCTGAGCTTTTATCACATTTGCACTCGTATATTTGATGATTAATACACAACGATAACTGTAGAGAAAGCAAATATGAATTTGTGGAGTTGAAATGTAAATATTAAGTGATACCTTTCACACCTTAAATGAAATCAGTCAGAGAATCTATACTGACGCCTTTCCACTATGAAACAAAAAACTGACAAATACTGATCTGAAACTGAATCCTGTTTCCAGGCAGCTTTTAGTGTCATGTTAGTGTCCCCCCTCCTCGTTTTCATACCATCTTAATCCTTCTGGACTAACACCCAGTGTCATTTATATCTGTGAGGCTTCAGCACTTCAGCTTCAAGGTGGAAACTGGGATTGGGCCAATATAAAGTTTAGCTTTAAGGCACCCTCAGAATTCCCGAACCAAACACTCTAGAACCCTCCTCCACTGTTGCCATGCAACAAAGTGGTGTTTCTGATTGTAAAAATGATCAATTTTCCCTTCTAATCTTGATCCTGGTGAATTCTTGAGGGAATCTTTGAACAGGCCACTCAGAGCTTGAAGTTAGGTGCTGTTCTGAGCATTATTTGTGGCTATAGAGTGGTGTTTTGGTTGAGGTTTGTTTATGGCTCCTCAGACTGCTGTGTATTGCTATCGAGCGGTCGTCAAAGTTGGTATAACCAGAGAAGCAAGCGGTCGGCAACATTCACCTCTCAGGTGGGTGTGTAACTCTGTGTTAGACCATAAGTTAATTTTACGCCGGAGTATCCCTTTAACCTCAACTATCAAGGCCAGAAAATGATTGTCTTTAAGATTTTAATACAAAGAAGTATAAACAGCATAGGTTTGCGCTCCTGTTTGAATAATGATGAATACAAAAACATCCTTCACTTCTATAAACAATCACTGTAACCAAAAGAAAAACAACTCTACAGGCAGATGTATAACAGGCAGTTTTTAATCTGAAATAAAATGAAACGAGGATTCCACAAAAGGTGAGGAGATGCTAGAACAAATTCCCACCCAGCACTTTGACAAAAACAAGAAGCTTCTACATCTGATTAAAAAAGGCTAAGACACTTACCATCATTGAAACTTATAAAACTCAGATTGCACCCTGTAAATTTACAAACACCTCTGTACGGGACAGCGCTAATGAAAAATACGTCGAAACATAATGGAGTAGCGTGTGCATAAAAGACATCGAGCAGAGTGCCTGGTATTCTACAGCTAGTTATCAAAAACAGTGGATGGGGGCCGTGTTGAGGGCTCTGGGGAATGTTACTGGAGGACAGGGGGAGACGGCCAGATGAGGGTTTGAGACGAACAGTCCAAAATGTGAACTAAGAGCGGGAACGAGAGCGAGAACGAGACGGGGAGCGGGATTTAGAGCGGGACTCGGAACGGGAGGCAGAGCGGGAGTGGGAGCGGGCTTTGACGGGAGAGGGGGAACGGGACTTGGATTTGGACTTGGATTTAGACCTGGCCCTGGATTTGGAATCGGCAGGGGAGCGAGAACGGGAGCGGGAGCCTCTGTCGGGCTCACCTCCCTCGTCGTCGCTCTTAGGCTGCTCGCGGCCCTTGGAGCCGGATTTCCTGGAGCGATCCTTGATTCCTGATCTTGAACGGGACCTGGAGTGAGAGCGAGACCTGGACCTGGAGTCGTCCTTCTTGCCCTTCTTTCCGTCTTTCTTGGTCTTTTTGCTCTTGGGGCTGCGGCTCCTGCTGCTGTCCTTGTTCTTCTGGGCGCCGTTGCTGCGCTCCTCGTCTTCCTTTTTGCCCTTTGACTTGTTCTTCTTGCTGCGAGATCGGCTGCGGGAGCGAGACGCCGCCCTGTGAAGGAAACAGAATAAATTTACCGATTTACTGATGCCGACAATTTTACCCCAGAGAACCTAAATAAGATAAAATGAATCATGCAGAGTGTGACGATTACTTTCACTGTCTTTTACAGGAACTTATTAAACACACTTTAAATTGAATCAATCATGCCTCTTCTGACCAGCCTGAAACTCTACCAGCAAAGACCTACATTCACTCTGGATCAGGAAGGCGGCGGGTTTCAACTTTGACTTCATGATTTAGACTTGGGCAGTGGAAAAACAGCAGCCATAAATATCAGACTACTGTTGGCCTTCACTCGCTATAGGCTACGTGACCACAAGTGCAAACACCTGTGCAATTTCTAAGAATTTCTGCGTCTATTTCTGGAAAACTATGCTCTCATCTTTCTCTTAACAGGCTACCAAATGCCAAAACTGTAATGTGGTTTTTAAACGACAGCTGCTTGGCTGTATATCGTTGTTACAGTTCGATATCAAATGCAAAGAGCAGTGGCTTTACTAGAAATAGAGTGTTAGATAACGCACAATTAACACATTCAATTCCTATGAAACAGTTTTACAGCATCTGCTTTGATTAGGGATTTCTCACCTGGAGTGGGAACGGCTGCGGCTGCTGCTCTCACTGCGGCTGCGACTCTTGCGAGATCTGCGGCTCCTGGAGCGAGACCTAAAAAACAAACAATAAGAGGCCATCTTAATCTTAAACTTCTTGCTAATCTAGTACATGTAAAGATGAACTTGTATGTGCGAGGCATGCGTACCTGGAGCGGCTGCGACTGCGAGAATAGGAGCGTCTCCGTTTGGCTCCAGGGCGGTCTTCTATGAGCCGGATTTTTCTGCCGTTCACTTCTGTCCCGTCGAGCTTCTCCAGAGCTCTCTTCATATCAGAGTAGAGCCTGAACTCTATCACCCCCTCGTTCCTCCGACCTTTGTGGGTGTCAGCATAGGTCACCTCACCTGCTTGCCTCATGTAGTCCTTCAAGGAAAGTGGAAAAACAAACCATACTCAGAAGAAAGCACAGAGATAAATCAAAAAAGCTGCTTCAGAGCGAACTTTGACCAAATCATACCTTCAAGTCCTGCCAGCTGCAGCGGCTGGAGAGATTCTCAACAATGAGCCGATAGTCTGTCCTTATAGGCGGACCATATCTGTCTCTTCCCCAGCGTCCATATCCACCTTTTAATGTAACAAGGAAGGGAAAGGAAAAATGAGGGCCCAAAAAGAAACAGAGGTGATGCAAATGTGCTAAACTTCAGGCTACAAAAGAGCTATGTCAATATTCACTTGGAAAAGGAAACAAGGAAGGGGAAAAGCAAAGGTGAAAAAAAAAAAAAAAAACTTACAAAAAGAAAAAATCAAATTTTTAAACCTTGAAAAAAAAAAAAAAAAAATCTTTATTTCAATTCAAGAGCTTTATCTATAGACCTAAATCTACAGAACACAGTTTCAGATTATTGAATTTTGGTTAAAGTTCAATCGACCTCGTTGTTAAATAAGAAAAAACAAAAATTGAAAAACATAACTGATCGAGGAAGTACTTACGGTGAACTAAAGCAAGTTTCTAACTATCCTATCTAAAAACATTGCACTGTTACAAAACATGTTCTTTTTTTTTTTCAGGCACCTATAAGAGCTGAACCCACATCTCTTCCTAACCCCCATGGCATCCTCACCACCCGGCCTGGGCCTAATGGGAAAAGCGGTCTTCATTCACAATGGCTCCCTTTTTTGGTCTGCCCAGGGGCCCAGAATGGTCAAACCACACTCTTGGAAAGGGGGGACACCATGGCCAGCAATAGGGGCAGGCAGTCAGCAAAGGACTCTTTCAATTAAAACATTGAGGTTCTTTGTTAAATCTTTACCTTTAAATTGACAATCATCTTTAAGAAATAAAAACGGAATAAAACATCAGTAGGTTACAAGATATTTAACAATAAAAAGAGTTAATTAACAGTATTCAAATTAAAACATTTGATTTTGTCATCAGTTAGCCATTTCCCCATCACAGATTTACATTATACTGCATTTCCAATCCATGTATGGAAAGCCAAGATATTTACCAAGTCATTGGTGGCTCTGGTGCGCACAAAATTTATCACGTGACGTATGGTGAGGACAATCTCCTCTCACGCCTTTTGTTCTTTAGGGGGGAAAGTGAGTGGCCTCTCTGTATCTGGAGTGCCGAATCGCGAAACTTCAGCTGTTGCCGTATGTTTAACAAGGGGGTGTCATTGATGGGTGTAGATGGGTGGGCCGCACTCTTACATGATCAAAAGGTGAAATGAAAACAGCCACAATCTTCTGTCTAGCTTAATACCATCAACAGTTGTAAGTGTCCCCAAAAGGTAGAAGGCGCTGTCAGAGAATCGCCCCGAGTCCTCCCTTTAGAAATACCAGTACATAAATTAAATGCACAACAGCCACCAAGGACAAGTTTGACTTTTTGCCCCGTTGAAATTTAGAATGACGGTTTCCTGTAATGAATAAAAATCCCTCATCAATGCCATTATTAATGAAAAGTATGCAAAATACTCCATGGACACTTACTTCTTCCACCTCCACCACCATAACCTCCATCGCGACGGGGTCCCTTGGTGTGCTCCACAATGACCCTCTCTCCGCACAGCTCTTTGCCGTTTAGATCATAGACCGCATCGTCTGCGTCACGGGGGTCGTCAAATTCAACGAAGCCGTACCTTGAGAAGAGAGTGGAATAAAAACTTTAATCCCAGAGCACAATACAGACAATATCATGAGAGGAACTACTCAAAATACAACAGAGGTGAACATAAACCCAAGATTAAAATCAAATGTTAAAATAATTAGCAATATAGTCTTGAAGTTGGACACATTTCGCTAAGTACAGCTGTCGATTCACTGCAATAGAGAGCTGCTTGACATTAATAAGCTTTCTGGCTGAATTCAAGGTCAGCAGGAAAAATGGCCACAATCCTGGTCGGGTAAAGGAGTCAAATTTCAGTATATACCGAAGTTATTGTACTGTACAATGCTTAGTTTTGATTTAAATGAAATAAGTGAATGAAAAAGTTTTGCTATTATTTATTTATTTGCCCTCTCTTTTTTGAGGAGAAGAGAATGAAATATGAATTAACTTATTTGTGCATTTACTTTTAATTAATATATCCCATTTTTTTGTGTGTGTGTGTGCATTGTATAAACTTTTACTTGGTATGTACATGCATATATAATATAGATATATTTTAATCCTCCTTTTTTTTTCTTCCTACATTAATTTATTTCACTACTAGAAGCCAAATCAACAAGTGTTACTACTCTTACTACAATAAACACTTTATTTGCTGTTACCCCTCCTTAAGATATATAAGAACCAGAAAATTGAAAGAAAAAAAATCATGAGTATTACTTTGATACTGAGCAGACAGACAAACCTGCCACACCACAATACACTCATGGTGTTATTTATTAATGCGTGCACATTTTTTTTACTTTCTCTCTTTTTTCTACCTTATCCTAAATTTAATAGTTATGATTTGTGTTTTGTCACGTGAAAGTGAAACTTAACATTATGATAAAAAAAAGGTTTCTAGAGATATTCTTGTGTTGATTGTTTTTGCACGTGTAGGCCAAATCCTTGTTTGTGCAAATCAGCTCAATGAGATTTCTGATTTCGACTCCTTTATGTTAGCAACATCAATAGGTGTATTTCACTGTGGGAGCCTGGCAGATTACACATTAATGACTGTGAATGGATCCTGCACAAAGACTTTGGTGTGGGTCCATAGGTCTCCGCGTGGTTCACAGTGGACTCTTGTGTAGATAGCATGAGCCTGTGACATTGCCACGTCTAACATTAGCTCCTTTCGGCTAACAATCGACGTCGAGGCGGTTGTTACTTTCAAACGGAGCTCTCCAAACTCGACCTCCACCTCAAAATCACAACATTATCAAAAATAAAATGCAAAATCAATCGAATCTGCCTGTTGCAAACATCGCTAATGTTTATATTCCGCACTGGTTTTGGTTGGTGAATATTCACCGCAGCCGCTTGTTAGCATTAGCAGGCCGCGCCCGCTCACTAGGCCCAGCCTGCCTGTTGTTCCCACGGTGAGGCCTAAAAATAAAATAAAATGTCTCGACAAACAGCCTCATCCTTACCCGTTTTTCAGGTCGACTTCGAGTATCTTCCCGTAGCCTTTGAAGAACCTCTCCACGTCCTTTTCTCTGGCTCGGTAGCTCAGCCTTCCTATATAAACCCGCGACATTTTGTTAGCTCGATCGCGCGACCGACACAAGGGAAACTGGCACACAGAAGCGCGAGGCTGCGAACATACAGACACGCGCTCCTTTGATACAATAGGTTCCGGCTAAAAGGGGCGTATCTACTGGGGAGATGGGTTAGTAATACCCGATTTTGGTCTGTCAGGGTTTTGCTTTCTTTTAAGGCAAAACGTCTTTAGTGCTTTAAAACTGTGTTGAACAATAAAATCTAACTGCTAGATATCCATAAATATTTCCATTTCCACACAATATATGTTTTGACAATATTACAAGTATTGTAAGTTGTTTTATGGCCCTATTTGCTTCACTCTATTGATCTTCCTTCCTGCATCTACCACTATACCACTTTCTCAGTCATGGCAACTTTATGTTCAACATGGGTCTACTTCTCCTTTAGGTTTTTGCCTGTTACAAGTAAATTTTGCCTTGCAACCATTCCATATTAAATACAGTAGATTAAAATTGTCTCTCAGTAAAAAATATAACCAAGCCAGCCTAAACCTTATAGAGCGCCATTATAAAAGCTGGAAAAAAACATAACTTTTTTAGTACCCAAGGGAAACTTCAGAGAATAAATAACTGAACAGATTATTGATTTTACCTTTGGGTTCTGGATTAGGTTTTTGTTGTTGTTGTTGTTGTTGCAACAAAAAAGAAAATCAAGATAATTTGGGACCTTTTTTGAAATATCAAACAAGAAAATCATTACATGTGTAATGGTGCGTTCGAGTTACCTCGGAAGTCAGAAGTCCCAGCTGAAAATGACATCACACCCGAGTTACCAGCATTTCAGTTACCAAGTAGGAAAAAAGCAGAATTGGCTACAGCCAAAAAAATGGCTACATCTATGAAAGTTATTTTAACGATTGTCTTGTCCGAGTATAAGGCAAGCACTAAAATAACTTTCGCAGATGTAGTCATCTTGTTTCAGGCCTCCAATTTGCTTTTTTTCCGACTTGGTGACTGAAATAATGGAAACCCAGGTATGATGTAATTTTCAGCTCCTGACTTCCGAGGTAACTTGAACGCAGCATGAATACGCTTGTTTTACCGTGGTTAAGGTACTGGAAATAATTACTAGTTACACCCTACTGTCTACTATTGAGTCATCAAGCCTAATGTGGCTAATAAATATAGCTTTTTAAATCAAGTATTATATTTTATGTAAAACAAATGGGATTGGTAAAAAATAACTCTTCATAAGTTTGGGGTGATTCCAAAATGTTTGGCCAAGCTTGGCCACCCGTTAATAAGTCTGGGCACGGGCTTGCCCACCTGACAAAAAGAGTCTAACTCTGCCACTGTAAGAACTGAAAACCAAAGGCATACAGCTTAGAGCCCAAAAGCACCAAGATAAGCTGAAAAAAAGTTACTTTAAACGCTCATTTGGCATTTAAAACAAGCTTTATATTCTGTCCCTCATCGTCATTTTTCGATAAACCTTAAATTACAGGATTCATCGCGCACACCGGTCTTTAAATCTTAAAACCTGTCCATCCCGGATTTTACAACCTGTTGCTACACGTACGAGCCGCGTTGGGCGGGGCTTACAACCACACAGGCAGATGAGCTTTACAAACACACCGGCTGCTGCCGTGCAATGTGGCCGTTTTTACTCTAAAGGCAAACACGTTGGTCCTTCAAGTCATGCATTTAACGTTTTAACATTTCCCCTCCTGGAGTCGGCTCGACCAGTTGCTGTAATCCGCCGGTGTTGGTAACTTTTTCCTCAATGGGTTGAAGAGCGTGAAGTCGCTTCGGGAGGGAAATAACGGTTCGCGACGTTAGCCGAATGTTAGCTTCATGGTTAACGGATAACGGCGATGGAGCGCGCGACTTTTTTAAACTACTCCTGGATCGATTTCGCCTTCTCCGTGATAGGGGTCTGTACGTTTCTAGTGGACTGGGGCTCGGATATATGGGTGGCCACCGAGTTTTACAGCCGAGGGGACTTTTTCTGGTTCGGGGTGCTGGTTGGCCTCATGGTACTGTCGTCTGTCGTGGTCCAGATGTTTAGCTGGTACTGGCTCAAGTATGACCGAGAGCTGCCGGGGTTCAGTGCAATGACCGGAGGAGTTACCGTGCTGTTTGGGGACCGAGTGAAGCTGTCCTGCCTGATACACGTCCTTCAGCTGGGTTTCCTTTGCAGGTACACCAAAATAATGATTCAGAAATTGCAGATATAAGAAGTCTGGTATTGTTTGTGACACAGGAGCTAAGACATGGGGTGAAAATTCTTGGAAAGTTTCTCAGTAGGGGAGAGTGGGGTAAGTTGAGCCACCCCCTGTTGCTTGGAGATGGTAAAAGAAATTGAACATGTGACCAAATATTTAGGAGATGGGCATCCATTCATGGAGTCTGTGAAGGTTAGAAGCACATGGGTGAAGGGGTTAGACGTTTATTTACAAAATAAAACATTTTTCTTTCTTGAAAGTGAATTTAGTCTGTCATAAGTTTTATTAGAATTGTGTTCAGACCAAAAAAGATCATTTTAAATTTGTTTTTTACATCAATTGAGGTTTCTTTGAGCTACAACATGAGGTCAAAAACATATAACATAAAAGTCCACCATTTTAGCTAAGAGGACTTTCACTCTTGCTTGTTTGTCCATAAGTTCATTAACAGGAAACAAGACCTTCCTGACTCCTTCAGAAACTGTTTTACCTTTTCATCCGTCCTTCACCCGTACTCAACAAGACAAAATGGCCATCTTCAGTTACCTTTATGTCGCACTCGAAGAAGTGACTGTTATTTAGGAAGAGAGAAGGTGAAGGAGGTCTGGGGTGGAGAGTGGTGGGGTAGTAGGGAAACGGCTCAACTTACCCCGCTCCTATGGTCAACTTACCCCATACTCAGGGTAAGTTGACCATAGGAGACCCCTTTTTTTGGCATGCTATATTAAGACAGTTCTGTTTACACTCATTCTGTTGATTTGCAGGGATGAAAGAAGCTCCATGAAACATTCAGCCTATGCATAACAACATTTGACAAAAGATGAAATTTCTAGTTTTGCATGCATCAGAAAGACAGCACAGCAACTAACTAAATTAAAAAAAACAGGTAGTAAAGGGGAGATAATACAGTAAATCAAGCAAATAGAAAAATAAAAAGTAAAAAGACAGGATAGCAAAGACTGGTGTTAAAGATTTAGTTTCATAAAAAAGGGAAGTTTTGCACAATTTGAGCAACTTCTTAAAATGAAACGCCAATAGACATGAAGAAATGCACACACACACACCTCTGCTGCATATTTGCAAAGTAACTCGTTCTCCCTGCAAAGTCATATTTGTCATCAAGCAGTAAATCACACATGACAGCGGCAGTAACCAAATATGTGAGTTCCACCTTTTAGAACTGGTAAATCCAGAGCAGACCTGCAGATGCATGAATAATCAGCTAATGAGGCATTAACAGCTCAGGATATGGTTGAGTCGGTGCATGTCCCCACCCTTCAACGACTCTGGTCAGGTGTATTGTTTGGCTCTGGGTATCTGACGGTCAGCTTGTCTCTCACCCACGCAGGCACATCTCCGCCATACGGCAAGGCTTCAGGGTTTGGTGGCGGAAAGAGGAAGGCTCAGAGTACGCCGTTTACCTGACACATGACCTCAGTATGCTGCGGCTTATTGAGACGTTCTGTGAGAGCGCTCCTCAGCTCACCCTGATGATCTACGTCATGCTGCGCACAAACAAGGCCAGGACTGTTCAGTGTAAGTATCATCGTTTGATAAAAGTAAAGCTTTGAAATTCTAGCATGTGAATCAAATTTAGGGTTGTGGTAGATATGTGTTGTGTTCACTTCCTCTCGGTGGCCACACTAATGGTTGAATTTCCGTTTTTGCAGTCGTGAGCATTGCTGCATCAACCACTTCCATAGCCTGGATGGTGGTAGATTACCACCGCTCGCTGCGCTCCTTCCTCCCCGATAAGGCGAAGCAGGGCTGGTGTTCCTCTCTGATCTACTTCTTGTGGAACCTGCTGCTCATCGCCCCACGTGTCGCGGCCCTCGCCCTTTTCGCCTCTGTCCTGCCCGTTTACATCGCCGTCCACTTTCTCCTGCTGTGGATCGTCTTCGTGTTGTGGGCGTGGCGACAAAGGACAGACTTCATGGACAGTGCCAGCGGTGAATGGCTCTACCGGGCCACTGTGGGGCTCATCTGGTACTTCAGCTGGTTTAACGTCGCAGAGGGTCGGACCAGAGCCAGGAGCATCATCTACCACACCTTCATCACCACTGACGGGGTGATCCTGCTGGTGACTTGGTGGTGCTACAGGGACCCTGTGCAGACTGAGTCGTACGACCTCGCTCTCTTCATCGCTTTGCCTTTCACCTACCTCCTCGGGCTGCTCTTCAAAACCCTCTACTACTGCTGCTTCCACCCCAAGCTGTGGAGGCCCCCCATGAGGGACCCAGGGCTGCCCGACGATCTGCCCGACGCAGAAGTGACCTTTAAAAACATTTCCATCCAGGACGGCGCCATGTCCTCACTGCTCCTCAACAAAAGGATGGCCTGCCATGCTTCGAATTTTTACACAAAGCACGGAGTCTTTAGGAAAACGGATAGAGAAGAGTCTACACGTCTCTGATGTTAGCTGTCGACGAATGATAAATGTTAGCTACTGTGGTGGTGAAAGGAAGCTACAGCCTTTTTTTTACACTGCCGACTTTTGTGCTGCAATTTCACCAAATGCCCGGTCTACTTTTAAGAATAATACAGACTCAATCAACTAGTGCAGTCAATACAACAGACCTATGAAAAACTCTATATTTATGAAGCTTCTATTTGTCAAATTCTTGTTGACATGATCACACAGGTGATGATTGTACTTTATTTTTTATTGGACTGTGTTTAATCGAAAAGTGTTTCTTATATTTTGTCCTCATCAAAAAATATGAGCGCAGTGGTTCTCAACTGATATTTAATATCGCATTAAATATTTACTTTTTTGATCAGCTGTTTGTGACCCACTTTTGGGTCAGGACCCACCATTTGAGAACCACTGCACTAAAGAACACCTTCTAATATAAAGCACTCCAGCACATAAACAACACCCATCATAACTTACACCATTGATTAATCTAATTAGTATGAACACCTGTCTGACTGTGCCAACAAAAACTGAAAATGTAGAGGCTTTGTGAAAGTAGACTTTATATGGGGCTGATGTATTGGGTTGCATTAGCATGGTCAGGGGTTCATAATGGTACGGCTGGTTGGTGTTAATGGTATCCCTGTAATATCAGTGAATATGCTAGAATGTGGTCGATTCCTGAAAATTCATAGACGAATCCGAAAAATGAAGAAAACCTGACAAATTTAGAAACTTCTCGCACAAATGATCGAATGAACCAAGAGAACAGCTGATACTATATTATTAGTGATGTTTTCAAAGCTATATTTTCATATTATTCCAAGATTTTCTATCAGTGATTTATAAACTAAGTGACATTTTGGTTTAATTTTATACATTTTCTACAAAGAAAATCAAATATTTTCATATCTGTGCACATGGAGCCAAATGCAAAAAAAATATGTGAACACCCTCTAAACACTCAAACAGGAATTGAGAAAAAAGACAACCTTGTTTTTCCCCTCAAAACAGATCTGTACTAGAAAACTAGGGAAAAAATGAAAATGACAATCATTATTATAATATGGATATTAAATAAAACTCTTTGCTAGGACCGTTTTCTAAGTTTGTTGCTAACCTCAAAAAATATTTGTGATAAATTAGATTTTATTTACACTTTTTTTTTTTTTTTTTACGACAAGGGCTTTGAAATGTGTTTTTAGGTGTTTTACTGAAGTTACTACTGGAAGCTATTTGAAGGACTTTGAATGTAACAATAAGCTCTCTCTTCTTCTGTTATAGTTAACCTGTATGTATTAAATGTGTGTTTTAGGCCACTTTACAGGGACTAGTTTTGACGCTGTAGTCGTTCATGTTTAGTGCTTTGACTTCACATGGAGCCTTAGGGTGTCAGGAAGGTACAAACACTGTTGTTACTCGACTTTTTATCTGATGTTTGTTCAGCTTGTTCGAATGTCGCACTCGTCAAGGTGTCTGTTTACTCGGTATCAGGTCAGACTTTAAACAGCAACCTTCTCTTTCAGGCTGTTGGATCTAAATCACGGGGGTCTACTCGCAGTTCTTGTTTTACGTCAGTCCAAGTGTTGTAGAGTCACTTCTTTAAATCTGCAGAAACCAAAAGTCAAGGTCAGGGCTGGTCGTTAATCTTTACCTCATTTGCCATGTGCAATTATTAAAGTGATAACACTGCTGTATCATCTGTTTGAACTCGTGTTTTTTCCTCTTAAAGTTGTTTCTTATTCTCATCTTTTTACTGCTCTTTACAGAAAGGTACGTGTACTAATCTGATCTCTGTGAAGCTTCATAGTTAAAGTACTGAATTCTCATTTTACCGCACTACACCTTTAAGTAACCCTGAAGGAGGGTCAGTTAGTGGGAGGGGTTACACATGATTTAAATACTGAACTTTGGATCTTTGCTTACTTTCAGTTGTCTCTCAAACTCTCGGGCAGACTCGTAAACAGCTCTGCTCTGAAGAATGTAGTCACACTAGTAGGATATGTGTGTGTGTGATTCAGAAAGGCACAATGGCAATGTTCAAGTACTCCAAAGTCGACTTCCTCTTCACTTGTCTGGGTCTTGTATTCTTGGTGCTCGACATCGGGCTGGATGTTTTGGCTGTTGTGTCTCTGTACCAGGAAAAGGAATACTGGAGCCTCGGTGTCCTGCTGCTGTTCCTGGTGGGCTCGTCTGTTCTCGTCCAAGCCTTCAGCTGGCTCTGGTACAGCTACGAGAACTTCAAGAGGGATACGACAGTGGAGAAGTGTGTGTCTGAGAGTCAGCTCAAACTCCTCCACGTGCTGCAGCTGGGGATCTACTTCAGGTTGTGCTTTTTTTCCTAATTACTTGAGTATTTCTGGTGTTTTCTAAGTGCTTCAGGCTGTTTGTCTCTCTGCGGTGAGTGTGTGAAGTAATGAGGTGGGTTTTGTTTCGCTTTCCTCCTCCTGTGGTTCTGTTTATCTAAGTGCCAAACCCGGATCTTTCCGGTCTGTGCAGGGAAACGACCTCATTTCTGGGAAATATTCAGAATATTAGTGCTGCAGCTCTGCTCCAAACTCAGATGATGAACATGAAGAGGAATTTGGCAGTGAAACAACACAGAGACAGTTTGATAGACGAGTGAACAGAGTCATCCTCAGGTGAAAGGTTGGCATTCACAACCCCTGTACCTGAGTTATATGAGACTGAAGTGTACAAAAAAGAGAAAATGAGCAAGAAAAGGCCATAATACTTTTAATTTATAAAGATATCAATAAAGCAAAACTGATTAAAGATAGTTACAATAAAATAAATATATTAATAAAAGTTTTAGATGTTGAACTTGTCAGTGAGCTTCAAGTATTGGTGGATTAATGAGGAGTTAAACTTAAATGTTTAAGCAAATATCCAGGTAATCAAGTCTGTGTCTTGAATCCCTTTAAAATCAATAGTATTTATAATATTTTGTGGTCCCTTACCTGTTGTTGTCGTATAGTTTTATCATAAACTGACAGAGACATCTGAGGATGTCATTAGGAAACACCGATCAGTCGGTTCAACCCGACAGTTTATAGGACCTACAAACCTGAAAACAACGAGGTACTACAGATTAATGTTTTTACAACAACACAATAATGTAAAACCTTTTGATTTGATGTGATATAAAAGGGAACAATATGATACTGTAAGAAACAATACAGTTAAATACAACATAATATCAAACACTTTGTCTCAGACCCGATATAAGAAATATATTGATATATTTTAAGTGAGATATGGAATTGGACCATATCGTATATATCGATGTACAGATATCAGATGCTGGTGTTTCTCACACAAAATCTTTAAACAAAGAAGGACACACTTGTCCGTCCTCTAGTATCTTCCTAAAAACAGCAATAACTGTTTATTAAAGTAAAAAAGAAAGAAGAGAGGGAAATGTTTACTGAGTTCATGGTCTGTTCATAGTCTTGTGCTGCTGGTTTAGACTGTTAAGAGGATAAAGAGAGGTAGGTAATCTCATGTAAATGCTGCCCTTATTCGGGTTTGTCATATTGAATTCTTTTGTAGTGTTTGTTGTTTGCATCTGTGGATTTGTTAGAGGAGAAGAAAATCTGAATTTGATTTTAATCGGCCATTTAGAGTTGTCAAAATGTTGATGCTTTTCTCATATAAAGAAATTTACTTCAGAAAAAGGCCTATTTTACTTTATGGGCTATTTTTATTTAAGATATATTTTTCATTTAAATGTTCACCTTATAGAGCTCCAGTTTAAAAGGTACTCCTGTGGTTATACAGTATTTATGTTTACATGTGATTGTTCTTTGACCAGCTGAGCATAAAGAATCTTCTTTTCAGCATTTAATGACTTCTAGAACTACTTGTGACATGTCATATCTGGATTTGACTGTGACTAAACATTTGCTCTCACTTTGTGAAAACAACATCAGGACATAAGTATATCGTATGTTGATATTCAGCCTAAATATATCGGGATGTGACTTTTAGTCCATATCGCCCAGCCCAAGACCAAGTCTAGTACACATTCAGCTGCTTCATTGGAAGTTTTTATGACCCACAATAACTTCAGGAGATATTTTGGATCTGTTTTAGCTCGGCAGTTAAATCCAGACCCCTGCTGCATGTCGTTTCCTTCCTTATTTCTTGTTCTGTTTCTCTATAAAAGTAACTAAAAAGCTCAAAAAACACTTTAAACAAATCAGTCAAATATCTTAAGAAGCATATGAAGCGATTTGCAGTCAAAAAAGTGAAATAAACTTTTTACATAGTTAAAAATCACGCTTCCTTATATCCATGTTTCTTTTATTTCGCCCATGAATGAGTGCTCCACTTTCACTTTCAGTTTTAGTTACTGTAATTCAGGGAGACCTCAGGATGTCAGAATTCATGACAATATTTACAGTATATGACATCACCCTCTCTTTCAGTTCCCACTAATGTGGTTAAAGATACACATAATATATGAACACAACAGGAACGACACGGTTTTTGTTCATGTCTGACTCCAAAGTTCACTTCAATTTCCAGATAAAATAATGATATAAGAAAGTTTAGATTCTCTAGTATCCAAAGGAGCTCCTGCTGAAGTCATTAAATGTCTCAAAGAAGGTTCTTAAGATGGTTTGAACTTTGTGTTTTTGTGTCTCAGGCATGCAGGAGTGGTGGAGGTTTCTATACGGAGCTTCTTCTCGAAGATCAGAGGTCTGGATGAAGATGTCGCCGTGTTCTTGAGTCACGACCTGAGCATGCTGCGGCTCATAGAGACCTTCTCAGAGAGCTCTCCTCAGCTGGTTCTCATGCTCATCCTCATTCTGCAGCGGGGTCAGCTCGACGCTTGGACAGGTACACTATGTTTCTCATGATGTAGTTTGACCTGCTGTCTGGACTTTCTAAAACGGTCTGACTTCTCCTCCTTCTCCTTCTCAGTGCTGAAGGCCGTCGGCTCGGCCTCGGCCATCGCCTGCAGTGTGACCATGTACCACCGCTCTCTGCGCTCCTTCCTGCGCGACAAACAGAAGCAGCAGATCGTCTCCTCCCTCGTCTACTTCCTCTGGAACCTCCTCCTCCTCATGTCTCGCATCACCGCCCTCGCTCTTTTCGCCTCCGTCCTGCCGTGTTTCATCTTCACGCACTTCTTCTGCTCGTGGATCATCCTGTTCTTTTTCGTGTGGCGAGCTAAAACCGACTTCATGGAGGGCCCTCGTGGAGAGTGGCTTTACAGAGCCACCGTGGGCCTCATCTGGTATTTTGACTGGTTTAACGTGGTGGATGGGAAGACCAGGTACAAGACTCTGTTCTATCATGGGTACATACTGGTCGATATTTCCCTCCTTTGTGGTTTGTGGTGCTGGAAGATGATCACAGATCCGCCAAACTTTGAAATCCCACCTTTGGGTGCCTATATCACTGCTGCCGGTGTCGTCGGAGTGTACATGCTCGGCCTCTTTTTTAAACTGATTTATTATAAATTCTACCATCCAAACCTCGACAAAACAAAGTTGAAAGGGGACGACACTGAAATGTCCCCGACTGGTGCCTTCCTTACTATAGAAAGGCAATCTACAGATGTGCCAGACTTCCCCGCACTCAGAGCCTTCTCAGAAGGCCTAGTGACGGACGGCGAGGAGCGTAGCGCGCCCAGACCTCCTCCAACTGAAACTAAACGCTGCAATAAACGAATGAAGAAGCTGGCTGAGAACTTCTACTGCTGACCTGGGTCACTTGACATCAGCAGGACTGTGAGGTTAGAGAGGGACCCAGACACAAACCCAGATGGTTTGTGTTGTCATGTAGTTTATTTACATCATGTGTGGCATAAGCACTATTAGTCTCATGCTGCTGTGCACCAGAATAAACTGATAATCTATATTTAATTTCTGATAAATTATATCCTCAATGTTTATTTTATTCTTACTATTTTTAATGTAACTTAAAGTGTTTTTTAATTTGTGTAACTGGTTTAACTGTTCTCATAAGGATCTCTATGTTGCCCATTTGTGTCGCATCTGTTTCCAAGTCAATTCATGTTAACAATGCGGCTCATCATGTGACTGTGTGTTAAAGCAGCGGTTCTCAAATGGTGGGTCCCAACCCAAAAGTGGGTCAAAGACACGTTCTGGATGGGTCACGAACAGCTGGTCGAAAAAGTAAATATGTTGATGTAAATATAAGATGTTTGACATTTTCTGCACATGCAACTTCGGTAGTTGCCGTGGGAAAATGTGGGTCCAAGAGTGAGACCAGTTGGGAACTGCTGTGTTAAAGAACTGAGACGTCGTGTTTTACAGAAGTTTTAACCTGTTTTATGGTGAAAAAAAACACACTCCATCTGAAGTCAGCTGTTTATAAATTGTTATTTATTCTTTTTAGCTTCTGTGTTCAGTCCTGGAAATGTTAAAATTTGTCGAGTATGTTTTAATAAAGATATTTGTATAAGAAAGCAGACTCCCATGAATCCTTGCAGTCATACTTCCCATATCTGTTTGCTTGCACCGACTAATTAAAGTAATATCAGTGATGGTTCTACATTTGAATTTGGCGAGTACTGTCAATAATACAGCGGCTAATATTGTCCAATAAAGCCTGAAAACATGAAGTAGCAGCTTTCTCAAGTGTGTGAGTCAGTGTATTGTAATTTAGTCCTGACATAAAAAAAAAAAAACAGTTTCCTGTTTTCAAAAGCCTCCACAGCAAAAACAAACATGAGAACTTCCTCTGACATTAGGAGAGGAAACTGATTGTAGGGGAGACCGGGGCGTGTTGTCACATGAGTAAGTTGTCACATTGCAATCATCTTCTTCACCAGGGAGTGCACAACTAAAAAGTGGAATTCTATTTTTATTTCTTTACATGGTCAGGGGTCGTGTCCTGTCTGAGAAGAGAGGAGGATATTGTGAGCTGAAATGAGCGCCAATTAACCATTTTGCACAACCTAAAATAAAAAAATTAACTTTATATATTTTAAAATAACCTTCTTCCTGATAAAAATCCTCACAGTGATTCATGTGGACTTGTTAGAGGAGAGATTAAGGCATCTTCTCATACCTCAGTCACTGTTCTGTTTTAAACTAACTTTAATCTAGAGCTGGAATTAGCAAACATGGTAGTTTGGGGCAACATGTCTCAGTCATTTTGGGGTTAGTTGTGACATGTTTAAAGGGATTAAAATTGACATAGAGAGTCTGATTATCAGCTGTTGTCATAATGAAATTTTGACTTTATTTTTACACAAAAAAGAGTGGTTTAAAGGAGAGGAGAAAGCGAGAAGACGTGGTCAGGAATTTCCAAAGAAAAACTAAACGTGGCGGTACAGTACCTGACGTGATGCTGAGGGCAGTCAGGCAGGTGACCCTCGATAATAAATCACTCTGGAGGACAATAAAGGACTTTAATGTCAACTACCAAACCTTGGCTCAGTACTGTAAAACATTCACTTCAGCCGAAATACAGTCAGAAAGATCTACAAACTCCAGTGCATGTTGCGTAATATTTTTATGGTAACGGTTGTTCAAGGACTTTTTCTAACTTTGATGTTCACTTTCAAGTACAAAAATGAGAAAAACAATAATTTTGTCCTTGTTCAATCCACTGTGACATCTTACCCCATGTAGTGAGACAAGTTACCCGATGGTGGGGCAACATGTCACATGATCACACTCTCTCTTTGATCGCTCTAAACTCTGCACTGACACATGATATGAAAATGACGTAAATATGAAATATATACCCGAGACTTTGGTCTTTTATCTGGTTCACATTTTGTTTATATACGAGGTATTGATTCCAAGAAATATATTAAAATGTAAAAAATGTGACAACAAGCCCTGGTCTCCCCTAATTGTTCTACATTTGAATTTGGCGAGTACTGTTAATAATACAGCGGCTAATATTGTCCAATAAAGCCTGAAAACATGAATTAGCAGCTTTCTCAAGTGTGTGAGTCAATGTACTGTAATGTCTTCCTGCCCTTTTAAAAATAACCGGCTCCCTTTTTTCAAATGCGACTGTACAACTACAAGAATACACAATGAAGCTGAGTGTCACTTTAGTTTACGTTGTATAACCGCTACAGTCTGTTTGAGTGTAGAAACACTGAATACCAGTTACAGGGCAAAATAATCCTCAAGCTCATGATGTGAAAATGATATATATATATTTTTTTTTTACAATGACAAACAGACGCTCCACTCAGAAACTTTTTGAAAATTTATTCGCACTGTAATGAGTGTCTCAGGTACACAGGAAAACCTTACAGGAGAGTCAGGAGGTCCTGAACAGATACTGCGGGGAACTGTGTGTGATTACTGTCGTTAAATTAGTTTAGACTATTACACGATTGTGTTCAGTTTACAGGATCAGACTCCAGCTCTCTACGTGACCCTACAGGTCCTTGAACATGAGATGAAATGCGGTACAAAAAAAAAGTCCAAACACACACACACACAGCACTTAAACATAACTAAAGAGTTTTTGGCATTGGAAAGAGAAGGTAGAAGTCGACACGTGTAAGAGGAGTATAACCCGATAAGCACTGCAGGGCCACTCTTTTGGTGTACTTCGATATAAACACGACATGCAGACGACATGAAGAAATCAACAAAAACACATTCAAGAAGCAGAAACAATGCAAATTTGATCTGCAAGTTAGAAAAAACACACCACGTCGTGTCGTTTCTGATTGTCTCTAAGCGATGCTAAGCGTTTCACAGCAACAAAAAAAAAACAAAACACAAAAGTAAAATTAAAGAAAGCAAATCGAATACAAAGCAGGCATAACTGTTGAAAAACGAGATTTACAAGTACATTTATGAAAAACACTTATATATCATCCCTTAATATCGAGATATCTAAATTTTGAGACCTTTCCGCCATCAGCTGTTCGTCGTTTCAGAGCCACCTCTCAAATACAGTGCAGACGAGACAATAAAAACAATTAAATCAATAAAAACAACTTTAAAAAAAAAGTTTAAAAGTAAGATAACACTTTGGATGAATGCAGTGATTAATGTATCAAATAAACATCTTACAGTTTTCCCTTTGAGATTAAGCATACAGATATGGATAAAAGGCACAATATAAATATGCACACAGTCACACAGAAAACACAGAAATACACATTCTTAACGGTCAAGCTGCATGTGTGTAAAATCTTCTTCAGGCTCAGTATTGTTCAAACTCGACCCCTTCCTGCGTCTGACTGAAAACCAAACGTCCTCTGAGATACAGCTGATGAGAGAAGTAGAAATGTATTGCACAGTCATTGTGGGTTTTTTTCCCCCTCAGTACAACGTTTAAGGTTGTGTGGCCGACTGATGACATCTGTGGGTGTACAAAAGAGCCCAGTGTTGCAAGATGCCGATGAGATTTTAATTGGAACTGAAAGGAAAAGTGACGTTATCACAATCGGGGGTAATTTTTCAGCTTAAGAAATCCCTTAGTGTGACTTTAAACTGAAGTAACAGAGATTTTTGTCTATTTTTTAACTATTATCCAGCATTTCATCATCAAATTTGATGTCGTCTTGCATTAGCTAGACTTCAGGTCACTCTAAACAAAAATAAATCAAAGTTTTCTTTCATTCTGATGTCTTTAACTCGCTCATTTTACCAAAAAAACTAAAAAAATGCGTCACATCGTTACACAAAGAAACACAAAAAACAGAAAAGTAATCTAATTTTAAGGGGCTGGGGCAAACTTTGAATCGATTATTATGTTGGCTGCAAACTTCTTCCATCAAAAGAAGAAAAACGATATGATGCCGATAAAGTCTGCTTATCTTGCTTTTACTCTTTTTAATGAGCTGTTTCTCCTGTTTTTATTTTCCTTTACTGTGATATTTCTTTGCTTTCAAGATGTAGCCCTTTGAGGTCTCTTGATGTAAAGGCCAATACAGATAAAACGTGTTATTATTATTATTATGATTATAAGTCATGTGAATTAAATTTATTCCTGAACACAGTTTGAAAAGTGACTCAGGAACCATTTTTGTCTGTTTATAAACAGCTCAGTGATTTTTGCTTTCATGGAAATTACCTGAATTTGTTTTTTGAGGACAGAGATTTAAAATCTTCTGATTCTTAAACCTGCTTTTACCGAATTCTACAACTTTACTCCAAATTCACCGTCTCTGCGGACTCAAACTGCGCCAGGAAATACACAGAGAAATAGAGCAGAAACAATTTAGATTACACCGCTGAAGTGAAGGATGATCCTCCGGCTATTTATGAGCCGAGTCAGAGGCAGATTATAGGAAAATAAGCACCTAGAAAGCTGAGAACGCCACCCAGGATCCTTGTGTGTTTTAAACACCGCAGCTAAACGACAACAAAACTAACTTAGCGTAGATCCGCCGCTGCTGTCCGTTCATTTTTAAACTCCGATATCCTTTTTAAAAATACTGCACATACAGAAATCATGATTCAGGTTGTTTGTCGGCAGGGTCAGGTGTCTCATTCACTCGATAAACCGACCCATTGTTTCAAACACAAAACATATTGTGCACTTTTTTTAAAGCTCTTGTTTTTGCGTGAAAGTCGGTCTGCGAGTGGAATTTGACACGGAAACAGCTGTACGATATGAGAGGAACCAACTTCTCACACCGCCTCGAAACATATAGGCGACAAACCCTACAATTGATTGACAGTACCATACTCAGGTTAATAGATTGTGTACTTTTTATTCTGTCTTTAACTAGTTGTGACATTTAGACACGAGTCAAGTATGAAGTCCATACTTTAAAGAGCGTATATCATAGATTCTGCACACCCTAGATTCACACTGTGCATCATGTGGGTCCAGACCTGTAAGAGAAAACTCCTGAGTCACTCCTGAAATCAAGCCGTCTGTTTGTGGCTCAGAGCATCCAGCTCCGATCACCGAGTGAGATGCAGAAATGTGAGTTTTCAGAGCGTGATTCTCATCCGCACACGCTCAGTGACCACACAGATGACACACACACTCACACCCACATGCGCATCCACACCCACACACACACACACACACTCACACACAGGATGTTAAACCAAAGAGGAACAAATGGAGGGGTCAGGTCAGCTGACCGGTGGCATGGTGAGGTCAGGTCAGGAGGAGAGGTCATGACATGTTATGTTTCTTGTGTTTCCACATATATATAGTACCTTATGATTCATAACTAATCGATTACGTAATTAGGGAATCTTTGACAACTTCAAACTGATACTTTCAAGTCTTTGAATGAAGGCGAAACAACCCAGAGAAGGAGCTTTGATAGAAGTTGAAAATGAGAAGCTACAACAAGCCGATCAAAAACCGTAACACAACAACGACAATGACGACGGCCCTTTGGTTGGTTAAACTCACAACAAGGCGTACAAAAGAGGGATTATTTCACTGACAGGAAACTAAAGAGACAAAGGAGGAGGGCATAGAAAAAAAAAAACGTCTTCCCTTTTGTGTCTGTATCAGTGCCAGTTTCAGCCGTGTTTAAGGTTAGCTGCCGTAGAGGAGGAGCGCCGGAGGAACCGTAACTCCGCCCAGTCTGTGTCTCACAGCCAGCTCCGACCCCAAAGTCTGCATTTACCCCGGTGCGTTTACTGTCCCATACTGCGCGGTGAGTCTCTCGAGAGGTGGAGGGTTTTCTAACATTAACGTCACTCCAACATGAACCAACAGCACGTCTAATTCCCTTTAGTGTGGCCTCCTCCTCCTCCTCTACAAGAAGTCCAGTTCCAGCGCTTGGTGCAAGGACACGAGGTCGCCGTGGGTGGAGACCCGCCAGAAAGGCATGTTGTGCTGCAGAGGAAGAGAGAAACGCAAAGATGGTTAATGACACGTTAAAGGGATATTCCTTTGTAAAATTAATTTAGGGTCAAACACACCAAAACACCGAGTTAGACACCCCGTCGAGAGATGAATGTTGTCGACCGCTTGCTTCTCTAGTTATACCAACTTTAGTAACGACCGCACGATAGCAATACACAGCAGTCTGAGGAGCCATAAACAAACCTCAACCAAAACGCCACAAATAATGCTCAGAACAGCACCTAACTTCATCAACAGTACATATAGGGTCTCATTAGAAACAAGCGGCTGCTGGAAGAGAGTAGGTGAGTTGTGTTTAGTCTCTTTGCTAAAGAAATTAGTCAAAGTTAAAAAGATGTTTGTTGGCTAATGCTATGGCTGGGACCCTATATGTCCTGTTGATGAAGTTAGGTGCTGCTCTGAGCATTATTTGTGGCTATAGAGTGGCGTTTTGGTTGAGGTTTGTTTATGGCTCCTCAGACCGCTGTGTTTTGCTATCATGTGGTCCTTACTAAAGTTGGTATAATTACAGAAGCAAGCGGTCGGCAACATTCATCTCTCGACAGGGTGTCGAACTCGGTGTTGCGGTGTGTTTGACCCTAAATTATTTTACGCCAGAATATCCCTTTAAGCAGGAGTGTTTTCAAAGTGATCAGACTGACGGTAATAAACAGTTTGGGTTTAAAAACATTCATAAGGTTGCAAAGATGTAACTCTTATTTTACAGGAGAAGGACTAGAAACCTGCAGGTTTTGTTCGGTAGTTTTTATGAATGAAGTTCACCTGTTTCGCTGCAAACTCCTCATCTCGACCGTCTCCTATTACCACGTAGGTCACCTTCTTCCCAAAGCGAGAGATGATCCTCTCGAAGCAACTCTCCTTCCCTGCATGAAAGAAAACAACAACACAGAGAAGACCGGATATTCTTTATTTAGGGCACCGTCAGTGAAAGCAGAAACTCGACTTTACGAATGCTTTCAGTCATACCTATTTTTGTGGCGCTGTAGATGTTCTCGATGGGGAAAACGTCTCCCAGGCCGTAGAGCAGCACTTTGGCCAGAGCTGGAACCAGCTGAGTGGTGGTGACCAACACGTTCATACACTTCCCCCTGTTGGTGGGATTTGATAAACACACAAACAAACATGAGCTTAGAAATGAAAAGAAACTGCTTCATTTATAACACTTAAAGATGCTAATTTATAACACTTAAAGCTGTTTATCTCCTTAAAAACAAAGCAGAAGTTAAAATACTTGCTGGGTTAAAAACTGTCTGTTTCACTGCAATGTTAAAAAAAATATAAACTTGCTGGGCTCACACCTGGACTGGATGAGCAGCAGGGACTTCAGTGCGGTGCTGAGCCAGACGTCTGTGACGTTCTCGATCTCTGACTGAATCCGTACAAGCAGCTCCCTCTTCACGGGACTCAACAGACCTGAGAGAGACGACAAAATATAATCATTAAAACTCTGCTCAACCTTGATGTCAATATTTTAACTGTCTTTAAATGGGCCAGAATTAACAAGGATATGGAGTGAAATCCTGTCAAGCTAAAGACAGATCCGTCTCCGCTGAAAACTCACCTCCGACGTTCCCTTTGTAACTGTTGTAGATCTCTTTTAGCCGGCGGTAACGAAAGGCCAGTTTCCGCATCCACTCCACCCCTCCTTGGACCCCCGCTGTGGTTCCTGAAGCTCCCCCACCACTGGGGCCGTTAAAGCCGTCAGTCAAGAAGTTGTAGTTACTAAATCAAAGAGAAATTTCTGCTCAGTCTCAGTTTTTAAGAGAGTCAAAAGACGAAGAGACTCTATAAGTTACAGAACAGCTTATAACGGACCTTAAATCCTGTCCGTTGTCATCAGAGGCGACGTCTTCGACATGGACTTGATCGCACTCCTGAAACGCAACAAAGACTTCAGGCATCCAAACACAACTCATCTGATTTAATACTAACGTGGAGCAAAGGGACCGATCGTTCAAAAGTGCTGAATTATAAACAACTTCGTTCCCGTGACAACCACACTTGTCTGTAGATGTCCGACTGTACCTCCAGGTCGTTGAAGAAGAGGTGAGTGTCTGCCAGCTCGAAGATCAGCTCCTCCATCTGCAGGCCCAAGTTCAGCATCGTTGCAGGATCCTGAACCAACAAACAAACAAACAAAGAGTCAGATTTTGTTATTTTTAAGTCACGTGATTCGATATTCAGCGAGTTCACAGACACAAACCTTGCCGAACTTCTGCGCGTAGGAGCCAGTGAGCAGTGAGTGGAATATGATGATGGTCTCATCCAGATCCCACAGGAAAATGCGCTACAATGACAGGAAGCAGAAACATTACAGCCTCCAGTCTTGTACTTAATTCAGACAGGTTCATCCATCATGTTTCTAAGCAATCAGGTTTCCTCCAGACATGATGATCATTTCTTTAACTCTAAAACACTGCATGGACGATGACAGAAAATTGAAGTCAGTTGGTACCTCCAGGTCGCTGTCAGCGGGCGGAGAGCTGTCAGGCTTTTTGGCTTTCCCTTTCGCTTTTCCGACAGAGTTCCTCCGTGCGACATCGTCCTGATCTCGGGCTCCAGCGGGGAGAGAAACACCTGTAGGGAGCGCTGCACCTGTTGGGAGGTTCTCCGGTGGGGATGCATCTGAGTATGAGAAAGTTTGACATAAATACATGTAAAAGACTCCAATAATAGTTGAGCGAGCGCCGCAGATGATTAAAAGTCCTGCGTATGAAAAATTCATGTGATGCTTCCGTGTTTTTGAATCAGCTGTCTCCATGTAATCCACCTCTGATGATACACTGATAAATAAGTACTTAACTCACCTCTGGGAGGCAGTCCAGCTGACGCAGCCTGCTCCGACTTCACAGCCGAGTATCCGGTCGCTCCCACGCCGGCGCCTTGCTCCTCGCCGCTGGGCAGCCCCGCCGGCACGTAGCTGGGAGGCAGAGCGTAGTACTGAGAGAACTGAGTCTGTCCCAGAGAGTTGTAGCTGCTGAACTCCTGCAGGGAAAACAAAGATGAGAAAAAGAAAATTAGTGTGGTGGAAGAAGAGCAAATAAATGCACGGGTTCGATCACAGACCACTTCATATTAAAGGTGGAGTAGGCAGGAATCTGTTAAAGAAGCATCTTTTTTTGTGGTGAATTTACAAAAAAGATTTTAATATCAGCAAATAGCTTTTAGTTATTGATGACATTTGGGGATGTAATGATATCGCTGTGTTTTGTTATGTCTGTGTAGTCAACATTTCAAATTTTTCTGACTGTAAACAAAGCCATTCTCCGCCTCCCCAACCTGATTGGTTGTGAGGCGGACACTGCTCCCCTGTGTTGTTCATGAGCCCAAACAAAGTTAGCGTGCAACAATATCAGACAGTAGAAACAAACCAGAAAGTTCGGAAAATTGTCTGACTCCTCCTTTGGCCACGACTGCCGACACAAGCAAGTAAATTAAGTAAATACCGGAGACTCTGGCGGAATAACGGGCGCCTAAAAAGGAGGTAGACCAGACAAGAGCTAAAGAGCCGGGTCAACATCAGTGAATGCTTCAGGATCTTGGTGACCCTGTAACCTTTCTGCTGGACAGGTAAACCACTTTAACAAAGTAAGACAAGTTGTCCTGCAAACATTGTGTTTGCTGGTAGTCTGTTGGCATCTACAGTAGCACCAATGCTTTTTACTTTCACGTTGACTGGGCCCCATTTGTAATGATCTGAAGTATTTATCTGCATTATATCGGAATTTAATTGAAACGATAAGAGTGAGCAGGAGCGTCTGTTTGTGGGCGGGGCTTGCTGGAGCAGAGAGGGAGGAGCTGAGGGGAAAACTGGTTGGGAGGCGTCGAATTTACATTCAGGATTTCTCCCAAAAACTAGAACTTCCTCAGGTCCTGGCTACCCTACCTTTGAATCTATCTGAGTAAAAGAGTCTGGGAAATTTCACCTCTGTCTGTTGACACTGTGGCAAAGAAAAAAAGAAAAAAAATGCAGATAGGATCTGTCTGAAAGCTTCATCTACAAACAAACAAGTAGCATATACAATAAGAATATATAATTGGGTTTATCAATTTGGTATGTACTCACCCACTCTCTTCCAGCGGCCGCTTGTTTAGAGTGAGACCTCAGGCCAGTCCATCATCGACTGAGGCGGGGCGTCGCAGCTCAAGGAAGAACAATTATGATAATTACTTTATCATTTCCTTGAAGTAATAATTGTCGTTCTTCTGCCTTAGTGTCTCGGTCTGATTGTATTTCCATGAAGAAATTATCATAAATGTTCTTCCTTGGGCTGCGTCACCTCGCCTCAGTGGATGATGGACTGGCCCGAGGTCTCGCTACAAACAAACGGCCACTGGGAGAGAGTAGGCGAGTTGTGTTTAGTCTCTTTGCAAAAGAAATTAGTCAAAGTTAAAAAGATGTTTAGTGGTTAGCACTATGGCTGGGACCCTATATGTACTGTTGATGAAGTTAGGTGCTGTTCTGAGCATTATTTGTGGCGTTTTGGTTGAGGTTTGTTTATGGCTCCTAAGACCACTGTGTATTGCTATCGTGCGGTCGTTACTAAAGTTGGTAAAAATAGAGAAGCAAGCAGTTGCCAACATTCATCTCTTGAGTGGATGTCTAACTTGGTGTTACAGCATATTTGACCCTAAATAAATTTTACGCCGGAATATCCCTTTAAGATCTCTGATTCCATTAAGTAAACAGAGTTCGCTCTAAAGTTCACAAACTTTGACGTCTTAAAATGACACCATCTTCCTCACCTGGTGGGCCACTGTGGTGGGGGTTGTAGTGGCCGCTGTCGCTGAAGGGATGCTTGAGTACACACTGGATGTGGTGAAGCTTGAGCCTGGAGAAGAAACAGCCTGATTACACGGCGCTTCAGGGGCACTCGTATTTTTTGAGCATTGTATTCAAGAGACAAATGAAGGAGAGAAAAAGGAGCGTCTGCTTATTTGTGCTTTCTGGTGTTTGCAGAGAGTGTGTGGCAGGGTTATGCCGTGAGACAGTCACAGGCTGCAGCTTGCCTTGGCTGGGGTATGAGTAGTGCAGATGGCCCGGCTGGGTTGAGGTATATGCGGTGCTGAAGCTGAGAAACCCAGGCTGGCCACCAGAGGGCGCCTCAGGCAGCCCTGTCTCTGTTTTAATGCCTGGCCACATAGCACCTGAAGAGGACAGAGAGCAGCAGACGCAGAGTGAAGGAGGCAGCGAGAGGAGTGGGCCGCTGAAAAACTGGTTAAAGTCAAAGCCTCAAGACGAGATGTGAATTTTTATTTCAATTATAAAGCAGAGATCGAGAGCGAATTGATTCCACAGCGGCGAAGAACAGTACAGCCTCAGAAGCAAAGTTATAAAAGTGTGATGCTGGGCTTAAAGTGAGCAGAGATGGAAGAAGAGGGGACCAACCAAAAGGTGGGAGGCCGTAGGTCTGACCGGTCTGGGGGAAAGCCGAGTACACAGTGGACTGAGCCAGAGGGGGGAAGGCCACCTGGCTGCTGTACGACGTCACTGCCGGGCTGAAGGAAATATTAAGATGAAGATGAAGAAAAACACCTTACTTTATCAACTATTAAATACTGTCACAATTACAGCGTGCATTTATTCAAGAGATTTTATAGATTTCATACAAAAACTGCAAGAATACTTGTTATCTGTATTAAAAGGTGAAATGAGAGCGTTTTCTTTCTTTTATTTTCTATATAATCCAGTTTCTTGCAGTTGTCTGGGGTAAAAACTGGAAATCTAGAGTAGAGTAGTCCCTCTAAGTCCTCAAAAGCTCTTTGTTTGGAGCATTCTTGGTTTACACTCAAGGAGATTATATCCCAAAAAAAGCAACAGGCCCCATTCACCATCTGTTCTTAATAAGACGTTTGTTCCTCAAACCCACTTACACAGTTTTGGAGAAAATTCTGACAAGAGCTGAAGTTTGCTTCTCTGGTTCTTAACTACAGAATGAAATCTTTCATACTGCATTTTGGCGTAATCAGCTTCTATTTTGGTCATTTATTACTTTATGCTGCAAAATGTTTTAGTATGAGAACAAACTTAGAAATATATTGGTTGAATAAAAAAATAAATCAAAACTAATCTTATTGGCAAAATCTAAAAGCAAGATCCCACGAGATAATAATAGAGGCTACAGTTAATATTATAATGTAAGTTGAAAACACACTTATTTACACCAACAATCAATCGACACTGAACGACTGAGAAAGTCTTTTGTTCCAGCAGCAGTGAGATTTTTTTCGGGTCTGACTCGGCACTGCTGCATAGTTCGTAGAGGTATTTATTTGAGCATTTATTCATTTCTATCAGGGTTTTGTACCACTTTTAAATCATGTTTCATTGGCCTTTACTGTGTCTATTGTGTATCTGCTGTTTTTCTAATGTCTCCATGCTGTTTGTTGTCCTGGTGCTGAAATAGTTTCCCTCATGCGGGATCAATAAAGTCTACCTTACCTCACCATCTACACGCGGCTGTACAACAATTTATGGTTTTTGGGAATCTAAATGAAAGTGATTTTAACGTTAAATTAAGAATCTGTAATGTTGACATTGAAAGAGTTACTGAGACTAAATTTTGTCATTGATCAAAAGTTAACATGGAAACGACACATTGATTACACTTAAGGGAAAATTTCAAAATCACTTGCAATCCTGTACAAATCCAGAAAAGTATTGAGTTCCAAGGCCTTGCATTTGATCGACTACTCATTGATTAGTCCCTGTATATCTTACTGTGTGGAACTGTGGGGATCCACCTTTAAAAACACTATCAATTCAACAATAAAACAGCAAAAACGAGCTATATGTTTTATCAATACGACTGATTATTATGATCACACGGAGCCACTTTTTTTAAATGCTCATGTTATTAAATTTTATCATCTGTTTTATCATTAAATAATGCAAATCATGTTTAGAGCAAAATCAAAAACACTCCCTGACTCAGTACAGAGGTTCTTTTCAGTTCAGGACAGTCCGTATCATCTCAGAGGTGCTCGAAAATTTACTGTAGAAAAAGCTAAAAAAGGTACGAAAAGGAGATGTGTTAAATTCTGGAATGATAACGACATAAATCTAAAAACATCTTTTTTTGGGGGGTTAATTAATTAAATCTGTTGTTGTGGTTTCTTTGCTTTTCTGGAGGTCGGTATACTAAAAGTTTATAATACAGGATCGGCTTTTATAAGCAGTCTGCTTCTGCCTTTTCAGTCAATATTAACACATGATTCTTGATTAGTGATTTGTGTGAAATGTTAATATTGTGTACAATATTTGGTGTTGTCATGACTGAATAAACGACTACAACCACTACTACAACCATGTCTCACATTACCCCATTTACAGCGGAGGTAAAATCACTATAAATCCCTTTAATTATATTAAAAAAAATGTGTTCACATGATCAGAGTCTCCTTGTCCCTTAAACTTTACATTCATCCTCATCTGCATTTTTCTCTTGTAACACAGCGTTTCTAAATCTCTAAATCAGTAATATAGTTAAATAATTATGAGTATATTTACTGCAAAATGATCTGTAACTCATCAGCCTGAGTGTGTGTTACACTTTCAGCGGCACTACCTCCGTTTTAGAAATACTTCAGTATTTTTTACTCAAATCCTCGACCTCTCTCTGATTTTCTTTTCCATTCTGTGTTTGATTATTGTGTCTATCCATCGACCTACGGAGTGCATTATCCTGGTTGTTTTTTATTCATTTTCATAATTTTTCATATTATATTTTTACTTATATTTTTATATTTTTCTATTGTGTTATTTTGTGCTATATTATTGCTATTTTTTACTGACACCTTTTCTTTGCACTGTCTGCGAGAGCTGCTATTTTTTAATTTCGTTGCGCCCTTTGGTTCAATGACAATAAAAGAATTCTGATTCTGATTCTACACATGACACGAGGATTAAGCAGTCGGCCTTCACCAGACCGTGAAACTAAAACTGTTTTACCTCATGTTGATTAACACAAATTCAGTTTGAACGTATACCATAATGTACTTCTGCATATTTACCTTGTAGTTTTGTCTGTTATAAAAAAATCAGATGACTGAGGAGAAATCCAAAAATTAAGTATTTCACTAAACCAAACATTTTTCCCTCTATGAGATTTGCGAATGTTTTAAGAAGATGTCAATGAATACTGACGATCATGAAGCTTTAATCCTGCTTTAGTTTCTCTAGAAATTATCTTTAAAATAGAGAGTTTGTGTAATCACAGTAATACAGGAGAGCTTCACTCTTAACTGCACTTTCCATCGCTGTTAAAACACGTCAAACTTTAAGATGTTCATGATTGTCCACTTACTTGCTTTCTTGATAAACCTGTTGAGCGTATTCGGATGTGACCGTCGTGTCCGCCGCTGTTTAAAATAAAGACAACATGACCTCAGTTTGACATCCAAGAGCGGCCTTTTCTTCTCGTATTCTTATGGTGCGCTAATCATGTTTCAGGCCCTACCAGAATGTGCGTATGAGTTCATGGAGTCTCCGCACGCCGGAGGTGCTGCCTGTCCGTCTGCGTCCGGCTGCTCCTGATCGCCTTTAATCCGACAAAAATCGTGTTAAATATCGACTAAATTAAGACAAATATTTCAGAGCGTTGTCATGTTTATTCTTACTTGGATCAAGCTGAGCCGTGGCCAGAGCGGAGTAAGAGCTCTCCTGCTCCGATGATCCTAAAACAGCTGCTGGACTCCCATCCTCTCCTAAATGACTGCGAGACGCACAAGGAAATAAACATAATATTAAAACATCTACTTCATCCTTGAAATAACAATTTATTAAAACAAGCTTTGAGGAAATTGTGTAAATATCACAGAGTGAATTAAGAGAAATGTATAATCAGAGAGACCAACCTTGGCTCTTTCTCCAGCCCGTCTATCTCAAGCTTCGCCTTCTTTGCCTGAAAAATCAACAAACAATCAGATCATTTCTATCTTTTATTGTGTGTAATTTTTGCTCCATATTTCTACTTAAAAATTAAGTCTCATGATCTCAGAATAAAATCTTTTCAATGTTGGTATTAAATGGTAAAAGCCCAAGGCTTAATAATGAAACATTTCTGACCAGCAAGTTTACATTTTAGAGGTTTGGGGTCGACTAAGGACTTGGAAGCAAAAGGGGAAAAGTTTAAGCAACATGTACAAGGAGAGGAAATTAGAAGCTTCATTGTAGACGGAGAGGGAACAAGTCGGTGCAGCGAGTTAATCTACACCAGAATTGTAGTTTAAATTGTAGTTTATATTGATGATAAACATTTAAACTACAATTTAAAACATCTTAAAGTTTTAAAATCTGAACAACAGTGGATTGAACGATCAGGATCAACAAAGAGAATAATTTAAGAACAAAACAACGGACTAAACGGAATAATTATAACTCTAATCCAGGTTTAAAATTCAAAGACATATATATTAATACTTTTTTTTTTTTATACTTAACCACTTTAGACCCATTAAGATTTAAAATTTGTTTCTTAAGGGAGACCTGGCAGCAAAAGTCCATCAATGTTAAAATCAACACATGAAAAAATGAGAAACTATCTCAGAGACAGACGTGAAGCCAGGTAAATGTAAAAACAGCAACAATAAACCCTAAAGGAGTCTTTCATTTTAGATTTTCAAACATTTAAAGATACAAGCGCCTTTAAGAGTTTGAAATCAGTCTGCAGTGAATTTCAGGCAAAAACCAGAGAGCATAAAAGATGTGAAAATACCGAGAAGCAGGAACGGGAAAAAAACATTTAGATAATAATCTGGAGGATGCAGCAATCTTATTAGTTTAATTAGATCTATTTTAACATTTTTAAGCTATAAATAAATATATGACTATAATGCAGTTATGTTGGAGACAGTGTGGGTCATTAAATGTATTTTGGTTCTGGTGCATACGTTGTATTTTGGTTGTAAAAAAGGAAGACAGGGATTTGTTAAAAATCCTGTAATCAGCCTGCAAAAAAAGGCTGTTATTAAAGTCTTTTTAAAGGCTGGGCCAACAACTTAAAGCTGCAAATTGTGGCTCAAAAATGTGTCTAAAATACAAATATAGTGTAGCATGAAGTAGTTACCATTCAAGATAAGAACTCGTAGAGAAATTGCCTTTTTTTACATGTCCTATACGACTTCAAATAAAGATAAAAAGTTGAGGTAACAAAAACTGAGATTGAGACAAACAGCTCAATGAAAAACATCCTTCACACGTATTTCTGTTGTAGTGATCCTGATGAGTAAATCTAATATTTACCACACTTAAAACAGTAAAAGAAAATCCCATATATAAAATCTCTGATGCCTCTGATACTGAAAATGTTGATTCTAACAAGGTGAAAGCACTTTTGCCATACTAACTCAGCTTTATGTCTTCACAAATATTCAAAGCAACAGAGAAACAATCTGCAGAGTCAGTGAAAAAGCAGTTTGTAAAAGCATCTATCTGTGCAAACATCATCCAGAGCCTGCACACGCTGTGTTGGCGTCATCCAGGGTAGACTCACCGGCAGCTTAGACAGCTCCTGCGAGTCATCCATCTCTGCAGCGGAGCGAGACGACATGTCTGCACGCACAGCCTACTCTCTGCAGCTGAAGAGCGAGTCCGGACCCTGCTTCGCGCACACACACGCATACACGCACATACACACACGGAGGGGAAAATACACACAGGTACAGAATAAATGGTCTGAGTCGATGCTTTATGTAGTTTTCAGATACCTGACTCTCCCCTCCCCTTGTTCCAAAAACTCTCTTGGATGCATCCCTTTCCTGACACTATCACTGGGGGGGATCAGCAGGGGCACAGGGGTCTTATCTCCCGCACGAGACCAGCAGGTGAGGCACGTGTAAAACTGACACGCTTGTGACATGCTTATGTTTACTTTGGGATTAAGGAAGCGTGCCAGCTTACATGTGACCTAACCTCCATTCAACGAAAACATATTCTCCTGGAGCATTAGGTGTTCAGGTGCAAGCTGTCATATCAATAGATGCCCCGAGGGGATAAGATCTAACCTCATTTCGTCCGCAGCCCTCGACAGGCTTTCTCCCCCCTATAGAGGGAGAGGCTGGACGTTTATCTAACTGACATAATTTAGACACAGAAGAAGAAGCAGAAGAAGAAGAAAACAGGTCAGCCGGCAAAACTCAAAACTGTGTGAATGTATGAGGCTGCTGTTCATTGTGCACATTCAGAGGCAAAAGCGTGACACCTGACTTGGCACGACCATCCAAGCATATGTCAGCTTATGCAAGATTTATGAAAGTGAACTCAATAAAAGAGTTACATTTGGAGGAAATCGGGCCAACCGGATGTCGCACTGCTGAGACATTAACCCCAAAAACATGACTCCTATCTACAGCGTTGGTGTTCTGATGCATCTAAGAGCCGCACAATTGATAGAAATTACGGCCAGACCATTTATCGGCGAGACGATTGTTTGAGACTAATCGGTAATCGGCCAAAACTCGCCGATTTTTGCCGGCATTTTAAGTAATAAGATGCGGAGAATAGAATTCAGTTTCACAATGAAAATGTTCAGCCATTTGAAAAGATCCCCCAACTTATCCTGTAGATGGCGCAGCGACCTTATGACAATCTTCATCCACTAACTACCTCGCAGCACAGCAGAGTGACGGATCTGAAGCAGGCAGCTCAGGGACGCATGGAGGAGAGTGGTCCACCTCAACGGTAAATAAACCAGTTTGTGAAATACACAATAAGTCGACAAGTTTCAGTTCAACCCACTTCACCATGTTCCCCGCTGTGCTGGTCTCGGTCACCCTGAGTTAACGAGAAGCACCATATGCAAGCTGAAGTTAGAGTTAGTCATGCGAGTTAAGATGCGGAGGCAACGATTGGCGGGGGGTAGTAGTTACAAACACTTTTCTGGTCTGAGTTTGATCAGTCGGTCTTCTGGTCAACGTGAAGAGCAGTAGCCTACAGTATATCTGCAGTATATATAGATATTTTTTATAACTTCATAAAAAATATATTTTTAATATCGGCCGATTAATCGGTAATCAGGACCCCCCCCCCTAATAATCGGTATCGGCCCCCAAAAATCCATATTGGTCAGGCTCTAATAGAAATGTCTTTAAAATGACAAAACTGCAGTGCTGTGCATTTTTTTAAGAGTGAAAATGTGAGATAGAAGCTTTAATGGAGACGCCCTCGTCTGTGAGCCTTTTCTCAGCACTAATTTGGAACAGTCATAAAGGATATCCTCGGCAAGAGGTTGGCTGAGGGTGGAGACAATGCCGATATCATATTGTTGACATTTCTTTTTTTTTTTGCATTGGATAAAAAACAGCAATTTAGGAGTTATAATAATAAACAAAATCAAAGACTTCATTAATGGTGCATTTGTTAATACAAATGCATGAGACTGGATTTTTTTTGGCCAGTATTCAATATTCTAAAAGTAATCCACAATTATTTTCATAGTCAAGAACAACAAGTGTGTCTTACATTACAGTTTACCTTTTACTCTTATTTTGAACATTTTTTTTAGCATTAGAAACAGACATAAAAATTTTATTCTACCATAAATTTGTTCTTTTTTAAACACAGGCATTCAGAAATATGTCGGCAGCCTGATAACCACGATTCAAAATGCTCCCTTACAATTATGTACTACGAACACACACGTTGGCACACAAAAGCTATCACTGCACGCACGTTTTTAATTCATTCCTTCTTTTTTATATGCTGTTAATTATTAACAGAGATTTTCAAGCTACTATCTGCAGATACTGATCATACTGTGCTTCCTTATTTGACCATTTTTGATCCTCCCTGGTGTTGTCTCAGTAAGCTACTGAAACTCTAGTAAAATTGCGTTGTGACATGCACATTACAATATATTTGATATGTTTAATTTAGCCATTGGCATGTTTATGTTTAACAGTCATGTTTTCTAACATGGCTCATATTTGTGCCAGAGTCTTATTAAACGGTATTATTCTATACATCATAACAGAATTTACACTGAATACAAGTGGTAGCTGTCACAGATTCGTGTGCTGTCATTTTGGATGTGAAAAACTGAAGAATAGCAGGGAACATTAATAGCAGGGAGCATCAGAGTTACAGTAAATGCACAGAGCTTAAAGCAAACTTCTCCACACTGCAGACATCATTCAATCATTTTTAACAGACTCGTGAACTCCAGCGTCGCCTGATGCTTTCAATTCTGATTCATCGGCCCACATATTACTCAGTCAACTCCTAATGGGATTGCATTTACAGGCATGAGACTTGACATCATCAATGAAAGTGTAAAATGCGCTCATACTCAAAAATCATTTCAGACATTAAAACATGTTACATCCTCTCCTCGTCAAGGTTATTCCACATTCAGGACTGCTCTCCGTCTTACATTTTATGCCCTCAAATAGAGACCAGAACCCTCTCTTGTTCTCTAGACTTTCATTGTGCAGCCTCGTTTGAAAGTTCTCCAAAGCGGTGTCCCCGTACAGCTGCTTATCTCTGACTGATTTTTGTGACAGTCTTGAATTTATCAAACCAATCATCCTTCCAGCTGTTGCCACGGGTAACAGAGCCGCTAACTGTTAACTCGTCCAGCATCTCATCAACACTCGGATTGAACCGTGCTCTTTGTGTAACATCACCCTGATAAAGGATCATCTAAGGTCCCCTCTTTCAGGTGACCGCTGCCTTCTCTCACGTGATAAGGCGAAAGGACAAAGGGACACTGCGGACCGGGATAATCAGTCTGGAGAATTCAACATCTGTTTCCTTCAACTTCACCTGCAACTGATCTTTCTTTTTTTGGCCTGCCTTGCAATTTCATAAAAAGAAATGTACGATTTAACACAAAAGGATTTGGTTAGAATAAAGAGAAAGTACCTGAAATAAGAGTTTTCAAAGACACCATTGTTGTTACCCACTCTAGATCGTCTGTTTGGCTTATAAATGAGCGTGTCAACAAACCTATAAAAATATGCCTTGGGGAAAAGGTTAGTTTTGAGCCAGTGTGTCTACTTCGACTCTCAAACATCCTGCTGTAAATACCAGGCTAGATTTCCATTCTAACCATAGTATTCTTTATAAAATATATATGTATTTTTCCATTTTGAATGACATCAAATGAAACCTAAAACAGTTACTGACCTGCTCTCTAAATATTGGCATGAGCTATTGAAAATGTACAGAGTGAGATGTCCGCCTCATAAATAAAGAGGAAAAATATAGGACCAGTCATAATCAGGCCATCATGGTCTGATACTCTATACTTCTAATAATGATAATTATGATAATGATGATAATAATAATAAATAAATACAAACATAATATAAATAAATTAATAAATACAAATAATAATAAAACATTCAATACTCTATACTTATGATAATAATAATTATAAATAAAAATAAACATAATAAAAATACATTCAATACTCTATACTTATAATAATAATAATAATAAATTCGATTTATAACGCACTTTTACAGGTGCTCAAAGACGTAAAAAAAAAAAAACAACACAATTTGAGATACAGAAAACAATGTAAAGGTTAAAAAAAAAAAGACACGATATGAGGAGACAGTAAAAGAACAGTTCATAGGTTAAAAGCCAATTTAAAAAGGTGTGTTTTTAGGAGTGATTTGAAAATATGGGGGTCTGTCCCCTGAATTTATATGCAACTCTTGTCATCTTGGTGATCTACTGCATCTGTTACACTGCGTATATTGCAGCTAATAGCACTCTAACTCATACTTTCACTTATACCTCAATTACTACTGCTACCAATTATATTTTCTTTACTGCAACTTTTACTTCTACTACTTTGACTTCTATGTCTTCTCTTCTAAAACTGCTACTACTATTAATATGACTACTAATATCACTACTACCACTACTTATTATCGTACTACTAGTACTACTACTTAAACTTATGCCACTTCTGACTTTTCTGTGTTTTACGGTAATTTTCTTCTTCACACTAATTTAGTGCAATTTCAGATGTATTTCCAGCCTCTTTCAGCATGAATGCAATTTCAATCTATGTAGTATATTCATACTATTTTAGCAGTCATCCAACTTCTACCTCTTCCTCAAGAGTTCAACAGTGTTTACCCTTTTATAAAGCAGTTCTGCATTGCTTTTTCAGCTTTCAGCATTCAACATTACCACACATTTTCTGCAATTTTTCTAGTCTTGACATGATTTTCTGTAATTTGATCAATCATTAAAGACCATTATCCTGCTATCATCATGGCCAATATGTCAGACATAGTATCTTGGGTCATCTTGCAACAGACTGAGAAGCTTGTCTGTCTGTATAGTGTCTGGTGTTGTGTATTGACTAAACTACACTTGTCTATGATCACCTCTATACTAACACCTCTATCATGACTCCACTACTGTTTATCCTACAAACTACAAGTTAAATCCGTTTGGCAAACATCCAGAAAAATGCACAGCATCACTTTAACGAAGGACCCAATCAGGTCGAGAAGAAAAAAACAGAATTTACTTGTATTCGCTGAGTCCAGCAGATAACCAGGCCGAACACAGTTTGCTGGTATCAGACTAATTCCTGGAAAAGGGTACTTCGTATAGCTCTTATTAAAAACACCTTATTTTACCATTCGGCGTGTAAAATGAAAATTACACCATACCACTCAAATCCAAACTAAAGCGGCAACCAACGCTGACTTGCATGCGAGTTTTGGAAAACTGTGACAGAGAATACTGCGCCAGGATTTAGACGCAGCCTCCTTAGCCTTCTAATTTAACGTTAGCTTCCAGACGCTAGCAATCAGGGTTGTTGTTACGGTAGATTTTGATACAGGAATATTAACATGCACGTTACGTAACTCATGTAAGAGGGTATTTTGTTCAAGAACTTAGCGTAACTACGAGTTTATTAATTTGGATCTGGGCATGAAAGTTTTACTCTCCAGGGTTTAGTCAGGACCAGCAGCCATATGAGTGGGTATAGAAATGGCATCGTGTAAAGCCATCTCGCTCTCGGTCCACCTCGCAGCAACGCTTTATATCAAACAAACTCTCTTGGCCCCACGTAAAAACACAAAAGCAAGTCTTACCATTGAAGGTTTGAGTGTGAAACGCTTTTATTAAAGCATTCGCAATTAAATCCACAGTGTCAAGCTTTGTCTGTTGTTAGGGACCACTATTTTGCAGGAAGTTGTCGTTGTCGAGCCGACTGCGCATGCGCCAAGTGCCCATTCACTTCAAAGTTCACTACAGGGCTCGACGGAAGACGACAGGTGTGGCGGGACATCAACACAGGTGAGGAGCTAGACTGCAAACATTTGTTGTTGGAACAGTTGAGCGCTCTTGTTAAAAGTTGTGAACTTTGTTTTAAGGTTGTGTTGTTTCCAACTGAGGTAACAAAGCTTGTTTTTTCTTGTAATGACGAAGTAAGTGTGTCAAAAACGAAACAATCTCAGTCATTGTGATAGTCTGCTGCCACCATACTAGTGAGGTCAGTTTGAGCAATCGGGGAAAGTGGGGTGAAATGAGCCATTTCTCATATTTTGGATCACTACATCAAGACAATCATAGTTTTGTCTTAAACTAGTGTATCTGCATATATTTCAAGATGTTGTTCATCCCGGCAAACCAACAGAATGAGTGTAAAGTGTCTTGATAATGCAGCATGCCAAAAAAAAAAGTAGTCTCCTATGGTCAACTTACCCCAGTGTTTTTCAACCTTTTTTGAGCCATGGTACTTTTTTTTTTCATTGAAAAAAATCACAAGGCACACCACCAACCAAAAATGTTACTAAATGACACTTGGTAGCCCCAGATACATGTTTATACAGTGACAATATAGTCTCTTAATTTATTCATACTCACCCAGTGTGAAACCTAAAGCTGTATATTACAGCACAGACACTTGAGAAGTGCATATTATTTGCACATAATAAGTAATAAAAAATAAAAAAAAGACCAATAAAGTGAAATTTGATCATTTCTCTGGGTACACCTGACTATCTGTCACGGCACACTGGTTGAAAAACACTGACTTACTCACTCTCCACCCCAGCCCTCCCTCACCTTCTCTCTCCCTAAATAACAGTCACGTCTTCACATTCATGTGTATTTTTATCCATTATACACTATTCAACTGGTACAATAAATATTTTTATAATTATTGCATATAACTGCTAAAAATCTGTTTTGTAAAAAGTCATTTTAACATGAGAATGACTTTAAGTGATTCAGAACATTCACAGCTGTATTTTTGAAAAGAAAAAATAAAACATTTCAACAATCTGAACTGAAACTCTGATCCTTTCATCAGACTCCTTTACTTTCTCAGTTACCCCAGAACTACTATGATGACTTTATTAGTCCTCTAAGCCAAAATGGTGGACTTGAATGCTCGGTTTTTGACCTTATGTTGTTGCTCATAGACACCACAATTGATGTATAAAACAAATTTAAAATGATCTTTTTTGGTCTGAACACAATTCTACTAAAACTTATGACAGACTGAATTTACTTTCAAGAGTGAAAAATGTTCTTTTATAAACAAATGTCTAACCCCTTCACCCATGTGCTTCTAACCTTCACAGACTCCATGAATTGATGCCCATCTCCTAAATATTTGGTCACATGATCAATTTCTTTTACCATTTCCAAGCAACAGGGGGTGGATCAACTTACCCTACTTTCCCCTACCTCATTCATCATGATGGTCTATGCTGCCCCCATACTAATGAGGTAAGTTTCACTAATACCTAAGTTTGTTTTGTGCTTTTGCAATCCTGAAGATAAGACCTACAATCATGTGATGTTGAGTCACAATATTTAAAAAATAACTGAAACTTGTTATCATCAGGAACTGTAAAATAGTTAAAATGTGTGGAAACATGTCAGCGTGGGGTTTCTGTACAAAAAGATTCAGGCTCCTGTGAGGATTTTTGACATTTTCAAAATACACTGACATTAATTTTAATGCCTTGTAATAATGTACGAAAGCAAACAAAGCCATCAGGGGTAAGCTAAATGGTTTTTTTAAATGTCATTTTTTTACCTCTGAAACTAGTTTTAGGAAGTGGGTGTTAGTGAAGCTGCTGATGACACAGCCCTGTTTTATATTTTCAAAATTAAATGTTTATGTTTGTGAAAGTCAGCAGGTTGAGATTTTTTTTGTCAGAAAACATCTCTCAAGGTGGGGTCATTTCTTGCCATTAAAAAGATGAAGTGCTGACTGTGTTGTGGGCAGAGTATCCGTTTCATGAGATAATTATTTGCCTTCCTACAGTGTCTTATTGTGTATATGTGTTATCTATGAACATGGACTATATACAGAATGGACAGAGTCTGCCTCCTTGCTGGGTGAGGCCACTCTAAGAACAGCGCCCTCTGGTGACAGGCTGCAGTATAGGTCATAAATCCTGCCTCTGCCAGCAAACCTTATGGAGCTGTGGACAAACTTTATAAATTTATTACACAGAACATAAACTTTTTTCCCCCCTGCTTGCGATGTTGACGTGTAGTTACAGTAAGACTAGTTTGTGCTCAAGTCCTCTTTTTTATGTACAGCTCTGTTTTTAAAAGTTATTAGGGGGTTCATGCTTTTTATGCGCCATCATAGCGACTCCCAGCAACTCTCCCGCCAAATGCGCACAATGCTACTGCGCAATGTTCGCTTTTCGGCTTCAAATCTGTATACTGGTGGAGAGCGGAACCAAGTTGTCCACAGTATATACAGTCTATGTGTATGAATCAATACTAACATTTGAAACAAAAACAGCTCACTTGACTGGAATTAAGAGATTTTATTCGCCATTTCTGACACAGATTACAGTTCAGTATTTCAGTTGATCATGTAAATTATCTTCTTTATACAGTAGCAGTGGCATGAAAATAAATATGCATAAAAAATACAAAACAAAAAAAGTCATGCTTCCAAATATGGAAGAAAATTATCTAGGACTGTGTGATGCCTTGTTTAGATTTCAGCAGGCTTGAAAATGCACTCTTTAGATGTAAAGACTGAGTGGGGTGAAACAAACTCGTTTTGAGTGAAGATTCTCCTTAAAATAAATTAATGAATATCACCTTAAAATCACAACTTTTACATCATTATAATTCCTTCAGAGTTAACAAGAATTTATTGCACTTTCCAGAACCGTATGAAGTACGCTAGTGGCTTAACACTGCGTCTACTTCGTATACTACGGTTCCTCATCAAGTTAACGAAGCACTTCTTTTTTACACAGATTATTTTCTAGAAAAGGGACCAAAAGGTTGAGGGAGAAGAGATATGTACACAGAGTATATACGGATCAGGCCGCCTTGGACAGGCACGAGACATTCACAGTTCTTCTCTACATGATGCATAAATACAAAAAACATTTGTAGTCTTCTAGTTTATATCGCTTATCTGGAGTGTTTGCAAGAAAACAGCAGTCACCTCAGCTTGAGAGACATTTGATATACAGTGTGCTATCAGTGATGTGGGCCTGTTATTGCTGGTTGAACAACTCTCCTGATCGATCAGAGAAGTCTGTCAGTAGATATAGCGTAACACAGTCACTGGTTGTTAAAGAAAAGGAATGAATAACCAAAATAATATTCCCATACAGGATATATAATTTAAATGAAATCTATTATACTTATCTCTCTCTCTCTCTATTTATATTTATATATATATATATATATATATATATGCTAGGAGCCAAGTTAAAGTCATGTATTATATATGTAGAAGTGAAATAATCTGTGAGGCTATGAAAACATGAAAATCCTTTAAGTTTTGCAGTGAAATATGTAACGCCTTGTTCCTACTCTGTACAGCCAAACTTTGATCGAGTTAATCAAATAAAGTGTTTGAGTTAAAGCAATCTACGGCAGCAGTTTGGTCCAAAAATCATTATTAGCGTACACAAACTAAACGCCTCAATATTCTTTATTCTAAAAACAAGGGAGGATATGCATCTGTCTAATCCAAGGTCGTTGATCCTTTAAGTAGAATGTGTCACTTTTTCCTCGACCCTTTTTCCTCAAGTGCAATCGAGCATTCAGATAAAAACAACAATGAGTTGTGAACTTCAAAATAAAACACAAACATATGTAGGTGTGTATTGAAGGCATCGTTCTAAACGGCTTAAGCACTAGTCAAAAGTCCAAATGAGTAAGATGATAATGTGGTTTTTGATAAATGCTGCTGCCGCCGTCATCGTCATCGTCGTCCAAATTGCCTTTTGAACCACAGGCACTTCTCTTCACCTGTAGCTAGCAGAGCTATCAGAGGGGGATCTCTCAAGATCCCAGAGTGCATCAACACTTGGCACACACTTAATGTAGTTTTGAGTGGATGAGGCAGAAGAGTGGGGTCGCTGTTTCTGTAATGGTAGAGTCTTCATTTGCGCATTTTTCATGCACAAGATCCACCCACACAGTCTCCACGTCCAGTCTGTCAGTTAGATCCTCCTTTCAGGTTTGACTTACCCCCCCACCCCGCCCCAAAAAACAGGCTGCTCTGGTGTGGTCCCTCAGTCAAAGTAAGACTCTGAGTCCAGAGTTTTTATCCTGTTCTTTTGTTTTCATGAGTTCCCAGGACAGATGTAGGTGTTCACATGAAGGAGAGTTCAGCAGGGGGCCCGTAGGAGAAGCCCGGAAAAGCTCCGGCCGCCTCCCTGACGCTGCTGGTCACAGTCAGGGTGTCGGTGCACAGAGACGATGTGACGGGCAGGTGGGTGAACTCAGGGTCAAAGTGCCGCAGGTCTGTCGGGCCAGACTGTGAAATGAAGCAGGAAAGTTGTTAATTAAACATGTTACAGAAACGAAAAAGTCAAGATGGCTAATGTCTCTTTAAGACAGACTCGTCCACTGTTGCCATTCTACAAAGTCATGTCTGTTTAGAAAATGACATATGATAAGATGTTTTGAGCCCCAATCTGACCCAGAAAGTTTGGAAAGGGACCAAAAGAATCCAAAGCAACGTAGAAAAAGTCAATGGCTGTGCCCAAAATGGATCTCTAACCCCTATATGGGCGACTATATGGGGGTTTGCGCCATTTTGAGGGGTGTCCGAAACCTGAGTGATCAATTCCAGTCTTAAGTTTCTGAGACTAAATGATGGTTCGCAGCTCTATTTCAGACTCACCACTGAGGGGACAAAAGGAGGTGTGATCTTCTTGGCCATCAGGTCTTCCCAGTTGATTGGAGAAAAGAAGGAATGGTACTTGAGTTCAAGCTACAAGGGAAAACAAAAATATAGATCAACAAACAAGTTCATATGGTTTGTTGTGTGTTATTTTTGTTTAACAGTCATCTGTCAAATCTTACAAAGTCATCCTTTGATCCCAGCCTGTTGGTGCGGTCCTTCTGCAGCAGCCCCTCCAGCAGCTCCCTGCCTGCGTTGGACACATTGGGTTTGAGGACCGGAGACTTGTGCAGGATGTTGTTGTACATCTCGGCAGTGTTGCGGCTGTAGAACGGAGGCTGTGGGGCGAATAGGGCGGATTTAGTACTTGAAAAAGCGATTATGTTACACAAAGAGGCTGAAAGTCAGAGAGTTCACTTACAAGTCCGTAGAGCATCTCATAGAGCACCGACCCCAGGCACCACCAGTCAACCGTGCGGTCGTATGCCTGCTTCTGGAGAACCTCAGGCGCCAAATACTGAGGAGAAACCAACAAGAATAAATCAACTCATGTCCAGCAACTTGAAATAGTACCATTTCTTTGCATAAAACAAGGATGAGTGTTGTTTAGAGCTGTGTTTTGTACCTCAGGCGTCCCACAGAAGGTTGTTGTAGTGCCATTAGCCTCTACGCCTTCTTTGCAGAGGCCAAAGTCTGTGAGGACGATGTGGCCTTGTGAGTCTAACAGGATGTTCTCAGGTTTTAGATCCCTGCAGGAGTTAAAGAAACACAAGGAAAGCTTTAGATAAACTCTCTTTTAGCTTCTTAGTCCTCCCCTCCCCTGCGGTTAAGTTCTGCAGAAAAATCATGCTCACAAATGCCCACTAGAGGGAGCTGTAGGATCGCTCATACCTGTACACAATGTGCAGGGAGTGGAGGTAGCCGAGTGCACTGGCAATTTCAGCGGCGTAGAATCTAGCTCTGGGCTCCAGGAAGATCCTCTCTCTCTGGAGGTGGTAGAACAGCTGGAGGGGAGAAAGACAAACATCTGTCAGCACCTGACTGAAAAGTAGTTCAGTTTTTGACCTGATTTGGGTTTGTTTTGGTGTCGCTGGACTTACCTCTCCACCATTGACGTAATCAAGTACAAAGTAGAGCTTGTCGGTGGTCTGGAAGGAGTAGTGAAGCCCCACTAGGAAGGGGTGTTTGATGTTCTTCATCAGGACACTGCGCTCTGCCATGATATGCTTTTGCTGTGGGGAAAATAAAGACGTTAATTTTTGCACATCCTTAAGATATTTTAACATTAAGAGACACGGGGGGATTCACAGCATGTCTAACCTCTTTCTTCTTCATGATGATTTTCTTCTGCAGCACCTTGACAGCGTAATATTTGGTGGACTCCTTGTGTCGAGCCAGCAGAACCTGAAGCAAAACAAACATTTGTAATTAGTCACAGTGTGGAGGTGATGAAAGACATATGTAGATATACAAGAGGCATGTTTGCATGTCTGGAGAGTTTTAAGGTCACCCTACCTTTCCAAAGCTGCCTTTGCCGATGATTCTGAGGTAGTCAAAATCGCAGGGTTTGATCCTGTTTAGGAAAAGAAAGAAGATCATGAGGATTTCTTGCAAAACTCCCGCTGCAGACATTAAGAAGGGTATTTTTTTCTTAAATCTACTTACTGTGTGTCTTCAGCCAGCGAGCTTCTTGAATTTAGGCACATCTGAACGATACAGAGCAGGGTAATTTGTGAATATTTTGCCACATTTTGGAAGGAAAATGAGTCACAAAGACAGAAAGCACATCTCTGCTTACCGGACTATCAGGAAGTTGATCCTCCTCGTTCTGATTCTCATCAATCTTCAGGAAGTTGTTCACTTCGACACTGTCGGAAATAAGCACAAAGACGGTTAGATGATGAGCGGTGGAACTAGATTTCACGCCTTGACAAAATACTGCAGTGTTTGTTTTGGTTAAATCTTTAATAGAGCGGCTTAATACGCATGATCTGGAGCAGTTAGTGGAGCTGGAAAGCTGAATGAAGGTCTTCCTGCTGGGCATGAATGACCGACTGAAACATCCGGTCAGGTCAAGTTAAGGATGTGATCATTATCCTAACCTGTCTGAGAAAAGGCTTAAGCTTCTGACCCATGACAGGAGGCCCTGCAGAACTCAGAGGTCCATTTCAGACGCCCTTTTCTACCTCAACCATCCGAAGAGGACAGATGCAGGGTCTGTTTTTCTGTTTCCTGATCTGGACGCTTGGTGTGTGATGGTTGCAAGCCATGTATCATGTAATAACCGAATTACTGGTTTATCTTCGTCTAGGGGACAGAGAGGATTTGCCGCGTAGGTGATTAGGCATGTAGAGACGCTGCTTCTGGCTTGTCATGACAGAACTATTCTTACCCTGGTTTCTTGGGTGCAGATTATTCCTCTGCACAGATTGTCCTGCCAAACTCAGGTGGCTGATTGGATTGGCGAACGCGCGCACAGATTGTGAATGGGCTAACGATCAGGAATAAATACAAAAGCCAGGAAGGAAGGGACGCCAAGAGACGCATCTTAATTGCGCCTCCTTCCCACGCCAATTTTCCACCCATAACAAATATTATATGAAGAGGGAATACTCACTGTTGGCAGATATGTGGGGTAGACACCAGCTTTTGGATGAAGTCATTCAGCCCCATCTTCCTCTCCTTGATGAAAGCTGCAATGGAAACACAAAGAGAGGATCCCCATCAGTGATACTGTCTCATCTTTGCAAACATAAACCTTTCATAGAGAAGAAAAAAAAATTAACATTTGAGCTGTAATCTTCTGTTTCTGAATCCCACATGTCCTGTTCTGGGATAGATTTGCGTGTTGTGCGTGGACCTAATGCTGCGGGCTTATGGGTTATGCAACCACTTGGGTCACTCATTCAGATACCAACAGTGGTGGCCAACAAAGCATTTTCCATCACAGATTCTTAGTACTATTAAAGATAGACAGTTTGAAGATTTTAAGGCTAAATCCTTCACAGTTAGAGTCAATCTCTGCAATTTGTGGCACAATTTCATGGAATAATTACAAAAAAGGCTCATCAGAATCCGGAATAATTCACCATTTTTTCGTATTATGTGGCAAATAACAATAAATACGTTAGTTTGTCCACAAGTGAGTGAAATTTAAAGCTAAATTGATGTCTAAAAATTTTAATGTTTTCAGTTTTTTTTTTCCCTCACCGGTAAGAACGGCGACAATCCCCCTCATTTTGCAGTAAGTCAGATCACATCCAGCTTCAGTGACAGCCATGTTGACAGCGACAAACACGGATATCCGATAAAACACGATAAAAATCAACAATAAATCCTCTCCAGTCCTCCTGTCCTGCGGTCAGTTATCACTGACTTCACCGACTAAAGTCAGAGCTCAACCGGCCGCGCTCCGCTCTGAATAACCGCTGGCCACGGCTCGAGCCAGTCACCGAATATATACGGAGCACGTGGTACTGGGAAGCGGCACCGCCCATTTTCAAACGTCACTCAAGTAACCACGGCAACTGCAGGCGTGACGTCACGGGATTCCGCTGCAGCCACATTCTGCCTGTAGGAGGATGAAGAGGAGGAGGATGACGAGGAGGAGAGCTCACCGCAGAGGAGGAGGAGGAGGTGAGAGCTGAAACCCCCACCACCACCTCCTCCACATCTTCTGCTTTCTTTTCTCTCAATGGAAATCTCCATCTGACGATGATCATCATGTGCGAGGATATCCTAACAACATTTTTAAAGGGGAGCTGTAGGGCGAAGTAAAACATTTGACTGAAACAGGTTGGGCTTCTTGGCTGCATACAGACACCAAAACCGGGCTGCATTCCCTTTTTGAGCCTCCCTGCAGTACTTTTATTTTGAAATGATGTGGTGAAATGTATGTCACGACTACTGCATTTCAGCTTCTGCCTGAAACTACAGTGGCCGAGAACAGCCACTGCTGCAAATAAAAAAGAATTCAATAAAAAACTAGCAAAAAAGAACACTACTGCTGCAAATAAAAATAATGCAAAAAAAATGCAAAAAAGAACGCCACTGCTGCAAATAAAAAAAGAGTGTAAAAAAGAACACCACTGTTGCAAAAAAGAATGCAAAAAAAAACTAAAAAGAAAAAAAAACACCTACAACTGCTGCATTTCAGCTACTGCCAGCAACTAAGGTGCCGAGAACGGCCCACTGCTGCAAATGAAAAAAGAATGCCACTGCTGCAAATTAAATAAAATGCAAAAAACAGAAACCACAACAGAAGTTACTGATGCAAAAATAAATAAAAACTGTAGCCTGTAGCCTCCACCGTTTCTTTTTCTAAAAAAAGAAACGGTGGAGATAAAAAAAAAAATTAAAAACCCTGCAACGGAAGTTAATGACGCAAAAAAAAGTGGTGATGCAAATAAAAAAAAGTTACTTACCGCGAAAATATATATATTTTTTGCACCTGTAACTTCCCTTGTGACTTTTATTTTTTTTGCATTCTTTTTTATTTGCAGGAGTGGCGGTTCTCGGCCACTGTAGTTGCGGACAGAAGCTGAAATACAGCAGTTGTGGGGTTTTTTCCTTTTTGTTTTTTGTTTTCTTATCAGCACCATTTCTTTTTTTATTTGCAGTGGGCTTCGGTTTCTTTTTTTTTTTCTTTTTTTTTTTGCATCAGCAACTTCCATTGTGTTTTCTTTTTAAAAATTTTTTTGCTTTTTTATTTTTTTTTTTGCAGCAGTGGCATTCCTCTGCCCCAGTAGCATACAGGGCTTCATTCCCTTTTGAGCCTCCCTGCAGTACTTTTATTTTGAAAGGATGTGGTGAAATGTATGTCATGACTGCTGCATTTCAGCTTCTGCCTGCAACAGCTGCAGTAATCCGTGTAAAAGCTATAACATACAGGAAGTAAGAAAAACTGTTCTGCACAGCTTATCCATCCATCCTTCACAGAAATCAATGCAATTTCCAGAAATCTCCATACGCTTAATTAGCAGGATTGCACAGCTGATCAGCTCAAGGTTATAAGGGTGACTTGGCACGACAGAATTACATAAATTCAGAGAAAATGCACATGACATCATGCCCCTCTAAGCCCCACTAGTGACGGGTCCAGCAGCTGTCATGGATGTGGTCCACTGACCCTGAAAGTTACATAATGATGCCATAATGCAGATAGCTATACTGCCCAAGGAAGAGACGGAGCCGCACTGCAAATTAAAGCACAATTTCCACTCAGTGTTGATGAGTTTCTTTGGTCTGCTGATTAAAAGTGTTCTCTGATGACTTGCAGAGCAGTAAGGGGTTTCAAATGAGATCTGTCTGTGACTATTTTCCCCCACAGAGAGGATAATGATAAAAACATTTCTCTGTTACAGTTTAACACTTTATTTCTGAACACTTCAGCAGTATTATAATATATGATTTCCCTTTGGGGATCATAAAGTTCTTGCATTGTATAGTATATTAGAAAGTAATGTACTTTTTATCCTAAAGCAGATGGAAACCTGAGCTGGTTCCTAAATGGTTTTAGGCAAAAGGATTTTTAATGGTAATGTAGTACTTTAATTCTGTTATTGCAGTATCTAAGATTATAACTTGAGATTCAAGGCGAGACATTTTTGTAAAATGATACGAGTCTTTGTCTTTATCGGGAAAATCCAAAAGCAGTCTCAGTGTGGCCACCTGTGAGTTTCTATAGAGGGGGTTTTTGAAGCCAAACAATGGCAGTAGCCATATTACAGACACTGCCTCAACCTAAGGGTGGCAAAGGCAACTTGTCAGCCTTTAAACACCAGCATATCCCGTTTAATAAGTTTATTTCATGTGTTATCGTAAATTCTGTAAATTTCACTTTCTTGTGTGTCTTAAACCTGTCTCAGCTTTTCTTCGCCATAATAGTCTCTTTCTATCATAAACAAACTACCATCAAATTTACTGACCCACTCTCTGTGAATTGATATGATTACAGATAGACTGCCAGAGCCTGAGCAGAGCCATGTCCATAGCAATGGTGGGCTGTTAAGAAATAACAGACTGTTGCTATAGTGTACTGACCAATCAGAATCAGTTTTACCAGTTATAGTGTTTTTTTTTCGTCCAAAGAATGTTATATTGTCAAAAATGCCCCTTATGATTTCCTTTTATTATGTTTACCTCATGTGGCATTGTAAATTCTGTACATTTCTCTCTAGTACCCTCCTTTTTTTGAGTCTTAAACCTGTCTCAACAATTCACCATAATAGTCTCTTTCCTTTTTTCCATTATAAACAAACTAACATCAAATTTACTGAACTACCCTCTGTGAATTGACATGGTTACAGATAGACTGCCAGAGCCTAAGCAGAGCCATTTCCATAGCAACAGTAGGCTGTTAAGAAATAACAGACTGTTGCTATGGAGTACTGACCAATCAGAATCAATTTGACCAATTAGATTGTTTTTTTTTCCGTCTAAAGAATGTTAGATACCATTAAAAATACCCTTTATGATTTCCTACATTATTTATTCACAGTATTTGAACACTATTTAACATAAATCCTACTCTTTGATGCATTGGATTAGAGTAAACTTGAAGTTTATCTACATCCATAGTCTTTTGACAGGTTGAACTTTAAAATGTTTTAGTTTGATATATCAAAGAAAACTGTCATGACCTCACATTTGAAAAATCCCCCCTGAGCCCTGCAGCCCCACTACTTTCCATGAAGTATCTGAGTACTTGTCCCCACAGTGTTCTTTAAAACATCTGCCACGGTCCTCAGAGGCTCATTCAGCTGAGCTCTGACAGCGGGGAACTTCTGGCTTTTGTCCCAGGAGTCTGACATGTGACACTCATGCATAATGAAATGGAAGCGAGACATCACAGGACCGGTAGTTCACTTATGGGGAAGTTAAGTGGCAGGAACGCTCAAACCGAAACTAGCTCGAAGGTCCCCGACTGCTCAGCTTCAGCTCTGTTTACGCGCTGAACCCCAGCTGATCTGGTTTCTTTGACAGCGACACCTCTCCCTGGCTGTGTTTAAGGCTTTTCCCCTGACCTCATGTAGTCCCGCTGTGAATATTTTAGGCCTATCAGGTTATCATCTCTGGTTACACGCAGAAGGACAAACATGTCTCGGTCTTTGATTTGCATTGTTTCCACTGCGATGGAGCAGAAAGTCAGGTGATGTCTGGCACAGCTGACCAAAAGTTGTGTTTCCCCTTTATCTAAATTTTGTCACTGTGAGAAGACTCAAGAGTCCTGCCACTCCCATTGAGGCCTCCCAGTGGGATTACCAGAAATGAACATACATCACAGTCCATTTCTGTTTCCCTTCAGTTCCAGAGTAATCCTGTTTTATTCAGCGCCGTCACAATGGCAGCTCCACTTTTCCTTCCCGTCCCTCTTGAGATTGATGCTGAGCAGACCGGCAGCACTTCTGCTTGTTCGCACATTGTCAAGCAGTCATGTGAGTCACCTGCCAGCAAACCCAGTAAAAGCCTTTCAGATCTCCCTGGGTGCCATCAATCATAACACCCCCGGACTCAGCGGGGGCGAGAACACTTATGCTGCAAGATTATAGGCTCTTTTTGGGGACGAAAGGTTGGTGTGTGAGCTGCACTGAATATTAACTCAGTTTGTGTTTCTCTACGTTAAAGATGGGGAACTTAGCATCATATTTATTCAAAAATAGTATATATTTCAGAAAGTAGGAAGTGGTTTTATCACTGTTTACCTATTGATCAATACATGCCCATATTTCATCTAATCATGTCGTCCTCCAGTGAACAAAGCTTGTCTTATCATTGCTAACTGGTCTTACTGGTTTCTCCATAATACTGTGGATCAGGATGGCTGGCTGAAATTTATTCAGAGGAAATTTGCTTCCGTGCCTACCCCAGATTTTGTGAAAGGACTAATAAAGTGGACTGTTTCAGCAACTACATTCAAGTATTCAACTGGGTCCCTTTCTGTTTCCTTACAACGTGGTGATAAATGTTGCAGTGGTGCTGATTTTCATTGTTTTGAACAAATTCTTCTTGCGGTTCTATCTAAAGTGCTTGTCAGCAACACAATAAGATATGTCCAAAACCATTTACTTCTTGTAGTTGGATCGGTCTTCCCCTTTATTGCCTTGTTTTCTGTCTATTTGGTATGAAATATCTGTCCTTGTTGCAGCTAACTCCTAATACTGAGGTCCTAAACTAAGGTCCTGTTCATACAACTTTTAGACCCTTTTACTCATAAAAACTGCCAGTTATGGGTGACAATTATGCTATAAGAGCTGTGAGAGCTAAACTGGAAACTGTTAATTTTGGCCCAGTTGGCTAAACAGTTACCTGAAATTACATTTTAGCTTCGGACCACGAAAAAAACCTGCAGATTTAAGTGTTTATCTTATATCTGTTTGTAGGTTTAAGCAACTCCATTTGAAAATTTTCAGACTACTAAAAAATACTCATGACCATGTAAATGAAAAAGAAAATATCATTCACGTGTTAAATGGAGAAGTGCTGAAAACTGCAGTTCCTCGAATGTCCACTTGGGGCTTGTTCCAAAAGCACTTGAGGCCACATACACACCCATTAAAAAAAACAATTCACTGCAAATATAAACATGTTCACAGCCTGGTATAAGTAACAAATTTTGTCTAAATGGCTCATTTCTCATTCTGCACACACCGTGATTTTTATGTATTACTTTGAGGCGCGCTGTAGCTGTTAGCGAGGAAGCTAAAGGTTACTAAAACATTACTATGATTTGATATAGTTTAAAAAAACACCCATGGACTGAGACTGTCAAGAAATTTTAAACATAAGGAACAAAAATTCAACCAGTGATACCAATATTAATTTCTTAACAAACTGCAAGTTAAGCAAAATTGAATGTCATTTCAAGCCTCTGTCTCAAGCCTTGTCCATCTGAAAGCAGATGTCGTAAATATGAGACCCCACACATAACAAAAAACAGCTTTGTTCTTATAGTTTATGAAGTGCAACAATAAAACCAACACAGCACAGCCCACACCAGCAGACTCTGTCCAGCAACACCCAGAGTGCCAACACTGAAAATTGGACATTTTGCAAAATCTCTCACACTCACGGGTGATTAGAGTAAACAAACATTGTTATTGCGATGAATTTTGCCAGCTGCTTCATGGTGGATCATTTCTCCGATTGTGATTTTGATTTAAGGACACGTTTTTAAAAACTCTCAGGCTGTTGCCACAAATCAACAAGTGGGTCCTCCATCTGATGCCCATCCATGATTTTCCAGCATTATTGTACAGTAACGGGGATTTTTTACACATTTAAGGAGTTAAGTGTGTAATAATTCCAAGTGTGGCTCAGACGCCTTCTTGGTTTTCCCGGAGATTACTGGGAATTTATTTGTCAGAGTATCAGGTGCTTTACACTCTGGCAGAGCATGAGAAACTAGACCTGCTTCCAGTGCAGTGGGTCGCAGGCAGCAGAAGGTGGATGAGTGAGTCACACAGTCAAACAGGCCCTCAGTAACCGACTGTGAGGCTGGCAGGAAGGCTGTTGGCTAATGAGGATGGAGGATCTCTAATTACTATGTGGGTCTTGTTGAGCGGCTCAGGGGAGCCATCACACACCTACAGAGTCATGCCAACTCCTGCAGCTTCTGATCTCACATTATATCAGATCCTGTTTGGTCTTTTCAGCGTCCCCTTTTTTTCTGTTCGTGCTCTCAGCCTGCATCACTCTCTCATAGTCACTTAGTATTACTCATACACAGAGCTGCAGAGATGCAGACCGGAGGTGGCCGTCCTGTCGGGCAGCGTCGCAGTGCAGCCTCAGGCCCTGAACGCGTAGGAGCAGATTTTGGCTCATGAGAGCAGAGCTAGATTTTAAATGCTCCTCATTCCCCGGCTGAATTCCCAGGCAGGATATGAGATGTGTTTTTTATTTTTCCCAATTCTCCACGGAGGATTAGATTGCTGCTCGTTCGCCTGCTCCATCAGATAAAAAAGAGAGATGAAGTGTTTGCTCTCTTCTGTGATGACTCACACTAATTTACTGCCAGATTTTTACAAATGATGCCTGACTTTAATTTGCTTCCAAGCTTGTGGGATGATCCTGCCTATTTTGAAACCCCAATGCCTCCATTAATTATATTAATGTGGCCGCTATTACTGCTATAATTACTATCATTATGGCAAAACGAGCTTTGTCCCAATGTTCTCTGAAATGGCTGCCGGTCTACCATCATATTTCTGCTCCGTTGCTATGGTGCTGTTTGTTGTTTACCCTGTACATTACTGAAACTACACAGGAAGTAGACAGAGGCCATTTTCATTCAGAGCTCCAGAGTCTCATTCACTAACAGCATCTGCTCCTAATGTGGGCTAAACGTCATGAATCAGCACAGAGGCGACTTCTGTTTTTATACCACGGTTCCTGTTCCCCCTTTTCATAACCTGTATTGTGGTAACAGGACAAAGAAAGTGATGGAAATGTTTAAACAGCTAAACTACTCAAACCAGATGAAGTTAGCTGGCATTTGTGCTACGTTCCAGTTGTACTCGGAAGTCAGAATTTCCAAGCTAACAACAACTGACAACCTCTAACGACAGCTGACAATTGTAAACAACAGCTAACAACGGCTAATGTAGGCGTCCATCTTGGTTGTCCAATTTGGTAACTGACACGCTGGTAACTCGGGTATGACGTCATTCCCAGCTCCGATATCCAACTTCTAAGGTAACTGTAACGCAGCATAAGTGTCCTCCTCTGAATTATTTGTTTGGTGTGCTGAGTGTTGATGGCAGCACAAATTTAGCATAACCAGTTTACTCAAGAAGACATTCGTCTATGAAACATCAACTAAGAATAAATCAACAAAATAAATTAACAAAAACCTGAAATTTCGTATAGTTTGGATTTTTTTAAGCAGCAACTCTCAGGGTTGAGAAATGAAGCCTGTGCAGAAGTGCTAAAACTGCAGTTCCCTGAGCGTCCACTTGGGGCTGGCTCCAAAAGTCAAAGAAAGTCCATTGACACCTATTTTACAACAAAATCCAACATGACTGCAGTTTTGTGCAAAAATGTGATTTGTAATATTTCATGTTGTAATATTTGTGATATTTCAACAATTTTTTATCATTTTTAGAGTAAGAGTTATGCTAATATCGAGCACATTATAGCTGCTTAAAACCTGCTCAAGCTCCGCCTCTTCACCTGTTTTTAGGATGAGTCAGCATTTTTAAAAGCGTTGACCACCATTGTTGGATTTTGAAAGGTAATTGACGTCGCTGAGACTAGATCGCGTTTTAAAGTCTTGCTTTTTCTGAGATAGTGTCTCTCAAACCGATGTCCGGTCTCTGATGTTGAAATATGAAACCGATGTGGAAGTGCTGAAAACCGAAGTTCCTCAAGTTTACTTTTAGGTCAGGAAGTCTCATAAACACCCACATGAAAGTGCATATTTATACAGCAAAACAAGACGCCTTAACAACAACAACAACAACAATAACAGAGAGTCTATGGAGTCTGTGGACTCACCCTCAATCCCTACTATTACACAACTATGATGTGTTTGTGTTACTGACTCATACTTGAATTAGATTAATTCAAAAATTGATCTTATAATTGAATTTTTTACCAGAGAAACAACATAACTCTGTGTTTCACAATGTGAAACAATGAGAGTCCAGACAGAGGTCACTTATTCTGTCAAAGATCTTCATGAGGTTGTGCAGTTCATCCCAATCTCCAAAGTATTGGAGTCCAGACTTCAGGTGGGGTTCAAAGTGACTTAATTTGATGGGCGTCTCTAAACTTCTGACTTTTGAGATCAAGTGCATCATGATGTCTTTAAACTGGCACATCTACATCGTAAATATTTGAGTTTTACGGGAAGACAGCTAAATCAGAAATGTGGAATCTGCTGTTTCTAATCTTTGCTAAACAGGTTGCTTGTAAGACATTAAAGTGGTCAGATATGAGGTAAGAAAAGCAACAGTTTGCCCCCATTCTCAGTATTTAGGCCAAACTAGGCTAACTCCTTTTTGTTAGCATAAGCTATTTTATCATAAGAAATCAATCAAAGGAGGTTTTCCAGTTTCTTCGAGTCTTCAGTTAAGTTCTCTCTGTCTCTGTCTCTCTGTCTCCTCGTTGATGGCTGGCAGTATCCATTATCCTCTCAAATAACAAATGAGATGAAAAGTAGGGAGAAGGCGAGAGGCTCTGCATTCGGACGTTACATAATTAACCAACACAACAATTCGAGAACAGACGGAGGAGCCCTCGATGATGCATTTTGTAATTGGCATCTGGTGCTTTGTGCTGCCAAGAAACAATCGAAGTGGCAATGACGTCAAAGCGAGAGAATACCAGAAAGAAGAGGGGAACGAAACTAATAATTGTCTTTTAATAGTCACATGATTGAACAGAGGGAAAAGACGGAATATTCAGGTGATTAAGGAGGAAAAGTTGCATGTTTTGGAGGTGCATCCTCCTCTGCTGCACAGACGGTCACATGCCACACGCAGGGATTTAAAGGTGCACCTACCTATGAAGGATTTCTTGCCGGTCTTCATGTCCTTCGAGTGTTTGATTAGATTTTCTATCAGGCTCTGAGTCTGTGATGAATGTGCGTCAGTCTGCTGCAGAGCGTCCAGGTGCCTGAGTGCATTAAAAAAGATGTAGTCCTCCTGCACGCCTCCCTTTCTGTCTCCGTCTTTCCACCGCAGCTCTGGTCAGAGAGAAGTCTTCGATTTAAAGGCAAATAACTTTCCTCTGCTGCACTTCTCTCTTCCCTCTTCCCTTTGCTGTTTCTTCCTCTTATCGCCCTGCCTGCAATCACACCAAATAAGCTGAAACCAAAGATCTGTGACGCACCTGCCTCTGACCCCCTCCTCCACCCTCCTCTGTTCTTTTATCTACCTGGAGAGCCACGAACAAAACAAAAAGCAGGTGTCTGGTTACGGCTCCCGTGAGTGTGGGAGCACCACAGGAGGAGGGGGAAACCGGTCTCCATGACACGGAAACCACCTGAGGAATACAAAGAACATTCAGAGAGGCTTTAAAGTCGCTTTTTAATTGGCCACCATTGAGCGAGCCGTGCATTCAGCATCCTCTACCTCCGTCATTTTCTCCCTCTGAGGAGTTTGGAGGGTAAAATTATCCAGTTAGTGACACTGACAACCCTGATTGCTTTGTTAGCGGTCTGCCTCAGGGCTGTAGGCCATCAGATATGAAGAGAGAGGGAGGAAGGTCTGTGGGGGTTGACTTACAGAAGCACCACTGATGAGTTTGGTTGATTGTCAGACAACGAGTTGCTGATGTGAATTACGATTAAGCTTCTGAGGCTAGACAAGTGAATCAGCTTTACAGTAACAATTACAGCGAGTGTGGTTAGCTTATCTTAAAAATGAGAAAACGTAACGAGCAGCGAGTCAAGCCGCCTCAAGGTTACAAAATCAGCTTATCTGAAACTCTAAAGCTCAAGATTTGAAGCTCGGGGTTATGCCAATTGAAACCCTCCTCCATTAAGTTAGACCAACGATTCATCAGAGAAGCTTCACAGTAAGTTCCCAAAACCGTCTCCCTCCATGCTAGCCCCCAACTCCCATTATACGAACAATCACACAAAAGGAAAAGTAAAGAGAGGAGTCAGTAGGAGAATAGAGGAGGCCATGAGGTTCAAAGTCACCCTGATCAGTATAGGCTGTACACTCTGCCTCCACCTTCCTCAAAGTTTTTATGAAGGGAGAGAAACAAGAGTCAAAGAGAGAAGATGTTTAAGAAAAATCATAGGGAAGACTCCAATTCGGGTTCAAGGTCACTCCAATGGGCCAGGCTGTACGCTCTACCTCCCCTACCCCCAGTTTTTATTAGGAAATTGAAGGGGTAATGAGAAATACGATATAAGACAGACCACAGGGTGAAGGTAAGAGGCCAGTTTTGGTTTGAGGACATGCTGACCAGGTTAGGCTGTACCCACAACCTCCCCTTAGCCCACAATTTCTCACGATGGGACAGAGAGACTCAAATGGATGTAAGAAAGAGCATGGGGAAGACATGGCAAGGGTAAGAGGCCAGTTTTGGTTTGAGGTCACCCTAGCTGGTTAGGCTGTACCCACTACCTCCCCCTAGCCTACAATTTTTCATGAGGGGAGATAGAACAGCCAAAGTGGAGGGTGGTAAGAAAGACCACAAAGACGGCAGGTTGAGGGTAAGAGGCCAGATTTGGTTCAAGGCCATGCTGACCAGGTTAGGCTGTACCCACTACCTCCACCTAGGCCACAATTTTTCATGAGGGAAGAGAGAATGGTCAAAGAGTGAAGGGATGTAGGAAAAAGCACAAGGAAGGCAGGGCAAGGGAAAGAAGCCAGTTTTGGTTCGAGGCCACCCTGACCAGGTTAGGCTGTTCCCACTGCCTCCCCCTAGGCTAGACAGAACGGTCAAAGAGTGAAGGGATATAAGAAGGAGCACTGAGAAGGCAGGTTGAGGGTAAAAGGCCAGTTTTGGTTTGAGGTCACCTTAGACGGTTTTGCTGTCCCCACTACCTCCCCCTATCTCTCCATTTCTCTTGTGTGATGAGAGAAGATAGAGAAGATGGAGGTTTCTGTATAGAAATGTCAGAAAAAACTAGCTCACCTATTTTTGTTGTATCAATATCTGCAAGTACACACGATCTATTAATCTCTATGACTAAAACGACATCGCCAACAATGATCAACAACGAATAGAGCAGCAAGGAAGACCTGATTCCTTACAGTATATCACGTGACGCTATGTTGTCAGCTAGCACCTGGTGCCAAGCTGGCAGAAAACATGGTGGCAGTCACAACAACAAATGGCCATATTTTACACTGTGATACCCGTTGTTGAACCAACCATGTGTAGAGTATGCATGTTTTCAGTCAGGGGTAAATTGTTGTCATCCAAGCTTTACTAAACAGTCTGTTTTTACAGACGCAACACTCAGAGATAACGGTGATGTTCAGAGTGAAAAGAAACCACTGGTAAAAGATTTACATAATCGCAGAAGAGATGACAAAATATATGAAATGAAATATTTTACAGCCTGTTTTCTTTTCTGCCTTATTGATACTGGAATCAAAAAGCCTCTGACGCAGAATCTCGACCTGCTGCTGAACTCAAACTTCACAGCAAACACAAACTGCTCCCACCGGCGGCTAACAAGCATTATTTAAATTTCTAGAGCTCCAGAGGTCAGGGGGAGTTTATAGATGAACTCATTTCAGATGGGCTGTTAAAAACGAGAACTGGGCTTCCTCTAAAAAACGTTCACCGAGTCATTTTATATCCGCAGCACAATGGTGAAAAGAGGCAACCTCGCCAACAAACATATTTTTTCAGCCTGCTCATCACCTTGAAGAAACACTGCACGACATAGTTCACAGGGAAAGTGAAAATAAATAGAGGTTGATATCGAGTAACTTCAGCAAAGAGGGCAGGGATGTTTTTTTTTTTTTATTGAAATAGAAATACAGCCTGTGGGTTTCATGATGAGGCTGGAGAGCAGGAATAATATGTGACAAACCACCGTGACCGGGCAAATTTGCATGTAATTTAAATCAGGAGAGGAGGAGTGTGTGGAGGAAATGAGCGAGGACGAGAAATGGGTGATATGTTGACTCAGCTGTGTTTGTTTGTCACTTGGAAACTTTGGCTTCATTGTTGAAGAGTTGACACAGATTTGAAAGAAACAATGGTTCGCTGTCTTGTTTCCTGGACTTTCACACCTGAATCGAATTTTTCTTGTTATATCCGACTCTCTTTAACCTTGGCCCAGTTAACATGATGGATTACTTGTATGCAGACTGTAGGTCAGATTTTAAAGGTGCAGTGTGCAGTATTTAGCAGAACAGACGACAGCAAATCCTTAAATAAGGACCAGTACTCAATCTGTGGCTGGGATCACAGCCTTTTAATAGTGAATAAAAGCCTGTTCTCTGTTATTACCCAGAGCACCTCTATCATGGTTCATGCACCAGTAACAAACAAAAATGAATGAATACTATCTGTCTAATCATCTTCAGCCTGATTTAACACCTAATTATTGTTCAAAAAGTAACATCAATAGATGCCATTTATAGAAAATTGCTTCCTAGAGGAATTGTCTTGTCTGAAAAGTTTGGCTGTGTCAACCCCACTGAGCATTTTTTGGTCTAAAAGAGGTCTGATAGATGTCTAAATGTAGCCAAATGACTGGTCTAAAATCAGGCTACCACAGGTCAAAAAATGAAAGTTTTTCAGGCGTCTAAATTTAGACTAAGTTTAGACCAAATCTAAATCTGGGCTATATCTATACTACACTGTATGGCGCTCAACAGCTATCATAATTATTTTAGTTAAGTACTTGGAGATCAATTTTGCAACTCACAGTTGCTTTTTGAAATAAAAAGTTATTGAATAATGGGTTAAAGTGCAACGTCTAAATTTGAAATTAGGTCCCAAAAAAAATAGATGTCTAATAGCCATCTGTTGCTCAGTGGGACACTAATAAATAAACAAGTGCAGTTGGTAAAAATGTTTCTCAGAGCAAAGAATTTGAAGGCCGGTCTCTAATACAGGCCTGTTTCAAATAAGGGCCTGATTCTTCCAAAGCCAAAACACAACCCGACTTGTATTTGAAGATTTATGATAGGTAGAAATGGAGTATTAAGTTCACAAGTATGTTAAAATCATCACAATTACTTGAGTATGAAAATCATACTCTTGTTGTTAATGAATGAGCCTCTCATACATACACAGGAGTGGGTTCAGTTCTGCAGAATGGACTTACTAACAGTGTGTTGTTGTATTTCATGCTGTTCTGTGCAAAATGCACCATTGGAGGATAAAGACAGGTGTTGTTATCGTTTTGTGAATACCGAATATGTGTTAATAATTATTTTTGATGGGAGCATTTCAATACAGTTTTAGCTTCGAATGATTTAGCAGTTCAAAGAATAATTTCTACTGACTTATTCTAAAGTTAAGTATGACTTATGCTAATGTATGGATGCATATATATTGTACATTTTTGTGAGATATACAGTATATGATATAAAACCCTAACCCTTAACCAAGTTTTTGAGGCCAAATAGATGTTTAAATGCCAAATATGTTCTACTAATCCATGCATACGCTGTCAGATATTTAACTTTTATACTCAACACATAACAAAATATAAAATCTGTCTGTTTCATTCAATGGCAACATGCAGGGGCAGCACCAAAAAAGTGTTTGATCCACACTACTTATTCTATTTTGGGATTTCCTGTCATTTAAAAGCCTGGTTATGTGAGATGGGGTTTTATTCATGGGATTCAAAGGTGCTGGTAAAGCTACATATGTAAGAGCCTGGCTATTTGCTCTTGTTTCCTGTTTCAATGCCAAGCAGCTCTTAGCTCTAGCTTCCTATTTACTTAGAAAGGTGTCAGTCTTCATTTAACTCTCAGCTCAGGAGTGTTTTGACTTTGATTTAAACTATGAGATATGAGAAAGATTTGAGTCCACCTTTATGAAGCTGTGATATTAAGAGTTCCTACCTCTAAGTAAATATAGATATCAATGCCTGAAGTGCTAACACATCCTGCTCTCCTACAGATCTACCTCTCTGTTTGCCCACCACTTTCCTGCCCCGGCATTATTCAGCCAGTTCAGGAGTGCAGAGTCAACCCTGCGGACGAGAAGGACAAATAAATCTGAGAGCAGGAGCTGAGAGGAGCCGAGAGGAGCTGAGGGATTGAGATCACCCCGTCTGTACAGTAGGTCAGTCTGAGAACAGCAGCGGCTCACCTGCTGCTATCTTTAACCTGATTAACAGCAGGTCTGATCTGCTGTGAGGGTGTGAGTGTGTGTGTGTGTGTGTGTGTATGTGTGTGAGTGTAAGCTCTCGTCTCATACTCTGTACGTTAAGGAGTTTGGTTCCCATGAAAATTTAATCTAAAGTGCAGATTAAACCCCGTTGAGCTGCATCATAGCCGAGGAAAACTGAATCTGTACCAGATCAGTGTAAACTGAGATCTCTGTGAAGAGGGTC